GTTCTCCATTCTTACGAAATTCTGTGGCTCCCAGACATGGCATAAAGGCAAAATATAATTTCTAAACCAAAAAAGATTGCCTACCCTGCAAGAAGGGAAATTCTGCAATATTATTCAATTTCACTGCAGGATCTTATGTGAGGCACTGATTTTTCTTTAAGAATTTTATCCCATTCTAGGTAGCAATAGCTTATAAATACTGGTAATTGTTTAAAATGATGCTTTCCTTACCCTAGTGCCTGAAAAGGAAAAATGTACAGGAGATGAATTAACTTTTGATTGGATGCTTTAAGTAATTCCCTACTTGTAGTATCTTCAGGCACAAGTTGCTGCTGCAGAGCTGCAGCATCAAAGTATTCCAGATGTCTTAAAGCAGTTCCTTTCTGGAAAAAGGCCTTGATTCATCTCCTCATCCCTGTGAAGGGTCTGGAAACAGATCTAGCCATTGGTGAAACTATCCCTGGTTTAAGACCATAATGAAATAAAGGGGTGAAAGCATCCCAGACCACAAGTCACTAAGTATTTTTAATCTCCTGATTTTTAAAAAAATCTTTTTGGACTTTTGGAAGTGCTTTGAACAAAGTTAAATTGTACTGTATTGGCTTTATTTTTTAGCCTAATTCCTTTACATGTGAAAAAAAAACATACACATGAAATAACATAATGAACACTCTCCTGTATTAAAAATCCATAATCATACGCACAGTCACTCATGCCCTCGCCACCTCCTGCCTGGACTATTGTAATGCTCTCTACATGGGGCTCCCCTTGAGGAGCACCCGGAGGCTCCAACTGGTGCAGAGTGCGGCCACGCGGGTGGTAATGGGAGCGACTTGGCGTTCCCATGTAACACCCCTCCTGCGAGAGCTGCACTGGCTCCCGGTGGTCTTCCGCTCCATGGCTCAGGACCTGGGTACTTGCGGGATCGCCTATTACCACCAATAGCCTCCCACCAGCCGGTACGCTCCCATAGAGAGGGGCTCCTCCGGGTGCCGTCGGCCAAACAATGCCGACTGGCGGCCCCCAGGGGGAGAGTCTTCTCTGTGGGAGCACCTACTATCTGGAACGAGCTCCCCCCGGAGATACGGAGGATCCCGGATCTGCGCACCTTCCGCCGCGCTCTAAAGACCTTTTTATTTCACCAGGTGGGCCTGGCCTAATTTTCTCCCTCTTTTATAAAAGAATTTTCAATTTTTAATATTTTTTAGTATTTTATATATTCAAATTTTAAAATTGGTTTTAAATTGATTGGGGTTTTAATTTGTCTGGGCCAAAACTATTTAATTTGATTTTAATTCTGCTTTTAAATTTTGTATGTATGTATTTTATTGTTGGCTGTTCACCGCCCTGAGTCCTTCGGGAGTAGGGCGGTACAGAAATCTAATAAAATGAAAAATGAAATGAAATGAAATGTCTATTTTTTACATTCAGCCAAGGATGTCAACTAGATCATAATTATACTTTTGTAAAGAATAAGAATAAAATGTACTCACCTAATGGCTTGTTCCCTTTGAGCTTTTCGCACTTCAGGCTTCTGATTTCTCTTAGCCATTATTTCAGCCAAAGAAGCACCTGTGATTGCTCTATGGCCCTTAACAGCACGGCGTGTACGTTTCTTTTGTACCTCTTCCTGAGCAAAGAAATAAATGCTTCAAAAAAGTATCCATTCTTGCAAAAACTCAAAAAATTTCACACACGGAAGCCTTTTGATCATATCAGATTGAAGTATTTTATAAAGTCCATATTCGAAGGGTTTTTTTCTTGATATAGATTCTAGTCTTTCACTTACCAGTAAAAGAAATATTAAGATATCAAAGGCCTGCCTGATGGCCCTGTCGCCCATGAATACACAAGACTGCAACTCTATATTAGAGCGATTTTCTGTACATTAAGCTATAATTCTTTTCCAATTTACCAAAAACATGATTTTGATTAAACAGATGTAGAATTGTGCTGTACATTTCTTTAATACTGCTTGCTCTTTCAATTAGCTGTATATGACCATTTTATAACACAGCTCTTAATGGATTTTCTTTCCTAGCCACAGAAGATGCACATTTCAATCACTCTTTTTTCAATAGTACAACAAAAAGGCATAAAGATTTCCTATTCCCATCAAAATAATTTAAACCACTAATCCTTTATCAAAGGTCACAGAAGATATTTTAATAAATGGATTGTGAAAAGCCATGTATTATGATCTAAATCAGGGGTCTCCAACCTTGGCAACTTTAAGACTTGTGGACTTCAACTGCCAGAATTCCTCAGCCAGCAAAGCTGAGGAGTTGAAGTTAAAGTCTTAAAGTTGCCAAGGTTGGAGACCCCGATCTAAATTATGAATAATGAATACATTATATCACAACTAAGCAAAGCATGATCCCAATTATGTACACATAAGAGTTATGATTACTAAGGTATAGGGAATCAGAATAAATCTGCTAACATGTTTTATTAAAAGGCAAAATTTGATGAGCTGCAGACTAGGATTTGAATTGGGATGAGATGGGTTGGGAAAGAAGAAGGTAGAAGTTATACAGATGCAAATTACACATTGAGCAAATTAAAGGAATGGTTCAATTTCATTGTTTTGAAGTAATGGTCAAATACTATCATGACTTCAACAATTTGGATTCCACCACCACCCTCAGCATTGACTCCTTCCAACAGGACCACTTTTTTGATGTCGCAGTAAAACTGCACACATTCATTTTACAGGAAACCTACAGAATTAATTTGCATCATGCAAGTAACATGCACTTCCAGTTTCCATCCAGAAATTTTAATCAAATCTATCATGGTAGAGCAAGGCTGCATGCTACAACTATGTTTATTCTGGTTCTCTTGACAAGAGACACTCATGAATGGAATTAGACTAGGTATTCAGGTTATCCATCCAACAAGATCAATAGACAATCACTAGTAACAGACTTGAGTAATGCACTTTCTGAAGTAATGGGTAGAAGACCATACTTGCATATACCATTGAAACTGAAGCAAAAAGAAACTACAATGATGCAGAAATAAGAATCAGACCTACAACTGTCTAGCCTGCCCTCAAATCTATACGAACAGCATTATCACATCTATTTTTTTTATTTTTTTTTTTATTTTGATTTATATGCCGCCCTTCTCCGAAGACTCAGGGCGGCTTACAATGTGCTCAGCAATAGCCTTCATCCTTTTGTATATTTATACAAAGTCAGCTTATTGCCCCCACAAACTGGGTCCTCATTTCACCTACCTTAGAAAGGATGGAAGGCTGAGTCAACCTTGAGCCTTGGCGAGATTCGAACCCTGCAGTAATTGCAGGCAGCTGGTCTTAAGCAGCTTAATAACAGGGTGCCTTAAACCCTAGTACTACCAAGGCTCTATTTTGTGATATAAACTATCATTTGCCAGTAATGTCCTGGTTTCTATCTAGCACAAGGTAGGTAGCAAATAGACAAACTTTGCACATAATGGAAACACTTTTTACAACAGGATTCAAAATAAGAACAAATTAATACCAGAGCATTTCAAGCTTCCAGGGTACTCTACACATTAAAAAAATTCAGGCAATTTCAAAAAGCCTCATCAAAACAACAGATTTCTAACACATTATAATTGTTTGTGGTTAAGGTACTTGTAAACTGTCTTACAGCTAATTTGATTTTGCATAACCAATCTATTTCCCCTCTCACATCATCCCAAGTCAATCTAAGTACTGTATGCATCCTATACATGAAAGTGTATGCCTTTTAATAAAATTTAATGTTCATAATGGAACATAAGAATATTTAAGCTGTGAGGTAAAATAAATGTCATCTTTCTGTGATATTGTTAAATATTATTTTGGGTGTTCTTACTCTTATTGAGAATACAGGCAGCCATCATTATTTCGTCTCCATAAACTAACAAATACAACAAAATACTTACCGATTGTCCTTTCTTGTGCTTTCTCCTGTACAAAACAGTCCAATTGATCTGACGGGGATTTCTCTTAGACAGGAATGCAGACTCACATTTTGCATTCAAAAACTGAAAAACCTGGAACATTTGGATTATTTTTTTAACATAACATGCATTTGGTACTAATGCAGACTGACAAAACAGCTCAAAACAATTTTAGGTCTGAGGATTCAATAATGATTAGTTGTGAACTAGGCAATATACAACTTAAAACTTAGCTAAACCCCAACAATGTTATTTTGCAACATTTTCAAAAAAGTATAGTCAAGATGTTACTTTTTGCAGTACTCCACCAGTTGTGCTTGCACTGTTTCCAAGGTATGTAAAATAATCTACTTGTTGATTCCTTAACTACTTCACTGCTCCATTGGGCGAGTCAGGCAAAACGTGTAAGTATTTTGCTTTAGTAAGACTTCATTTGCTATATGGCTAATAATTTCTTTTAGGTTGTTCCAAGTGCTGGCTAGGGAGGGACACATCAGCACCAAAAATTACATCTGTAATTAAAAAAACTGGATGGATGTGTAACAATGCCAATGATCTTTTCAATGATTCTATCAAAATATGATTTCCATGCATGTATTGAACAACAATTGCAATACAATAGCCCTAGTATGCCAGACTTTTTTTTTTTTTTTTTTGCGCCTTACCTTCCCGTCCGTTCGAGCGTAGCGGCGGCCATGGCCGGGGTAGATCTTGTACCCACTGAAGCTGCACAACTCGACCCTGCATTCCAAAGTTACCGAGAAACAAATTAGCAAACCGAGAAAGCCTAAACCTCCCCCATTTCATGTGCCAAACCTGAGGATGGCCTCGGATTAAACCAAGGCCTCGGTTCTTACTTCATAATGGTAGCAGCGGAGCAACCTCACCGGCTCCTCCAGCGTATAAGAGAAAGAGAGGCTCATGGGAAACCGGATTCTATACTCGCGCGGTGCATGATGGGAGCACCTGCTGTTTGTTATACGATGGGAAGTGCTGCGCTTTCATTAGCTGGTAGTTTAATTCCTAAACTGGATAAAAATTCATTAACTGGGACACAAGGGGCCTTGAAAACTTTGTACCGTAATATAAAATCTCTGGCATTATTTTTTTTCTCAAGCGTTTTTTGTTATCCAATCAGTACCTAGCCTCAGCCCGGTTGCCTAGCATTGGAAGCAAGCGGGAAGTATGGCGGCAGCATCGGTTGCGGAGGTTTCCGCAACGAAGACTGAGGGGGTCAAGCCATCCACGGGCGCTAGTCAAGGTAGGAGTAAAATCTGCCGAACGCGGAGAGCGACGAAGATAAGCCATTTGGGAACGCTGGCTGAGGAACAGCCTTTTCGTTGAGCGTTATGGGGGGGGGGGGGGGGGGTGCGCGCTGAGTGTCGCGCGGAGCCATATGGGGACTGTAGTTTGTATCAACCTGTGTCTTGATTAATAGTATGAGTTAATTTTAACAATGCACTACAAATCCCGAAAGGCCTTGCGAGCGGTTGTTTCTTTTGTGTAGTTTGTAGGAGCGGTACCTCACTTACTCTTTGCTTGGCGTTTTTTATATGTATAATACACGTATATTGAATTAATTCCAGACATTCCTTTGTGCCGCCTTTCTACATATGCATATCAAATAGAAGTGTAAGTGACAGTTATGTAACTGTGTTAGATGAGATACTACTATCATTCTTTTTAGTAACTAGTTTTTTGTCCTGAAAAGCATTAATTATTAGAGTGTTGTGGTATTTGTCTTTCTTTGGGGAAGGGATTGTGTTACAAGCTATTTGCTAATGCTGAAACTCTTGTTATATGTGAGAATTTATTTTTCACAGGATGGCATAATTGAGCAAGGGTGTTCCATTGTAAATAATGGTAATGGTATATTTTAGTATGTACATTTTTTTTACAAATCAAACTTTTGCAATATAATGTAAAGGAAACACTATGACATATTCTACAAAATGTCTGGATAAATAGAAGACCATATAAAACCAATAATGTTATTAGCATCTGCTATAGCGAGGGTAATCAAGAACTATGTGATCAAACACTAGGTGATGCTTTCTAAAAACCCAATTGCAGCTAGTTCAAAGGGGCAAGTAGGGTAGGAATGGGACTCTTCAATCATCCCAAAATCTGTTGAGAAACAAACTGTTAAACACAAAACCTCTCAAAAATTCCAGACCAATTTTGCTCACAATTTTCTATTTTAGATGACAGAAGAACTAGAAAGACCAACAACAGAAATCCAAAATTTTTTTACTACCGTTTCTGTGGGCGGGGTATGGTGTGGCTTGGTCGGCGGGGCATGGTGGGCAGGGCAGGGAAAGGATACTGCTAAATCCCCATTCCCTCCCCACTCCTGGGGGAAGGATATTGCAAAATCTCCATTCCCAGCCAGAGGTGGTATTTGCCGGTTCTCTGAACTGCTCAAAATTTCTGCTACCAGTTCTCCAGAACCTGTCAGAACCTGCTGGATTTCACCCCTGGTTGATACTCACTGATACTACTGGTTAACCAAGAAAATGGAAATAGGAGAAACACTGGTGGGGCTGGGGACAATGGAGATCTTGATCAAAAGAAGAGTTGTTAATAAATTAAAGGCAATTGTATATAGGATTCCATAGGAAAAGCTAAATGAGGAAAGTAAATCAAGATAGCTACATAAAAACTGCAAATAATTCCAGTGAAGAACTTTTTATGATTAGTCATCCAAAATGCAGTGTGCCAGAGGATAAAAGTACCCCTCCACTGCCATTCAATTAATTAAAGGAATTGGTGAATACTTAATGTAAAATTCAGTAGTCATATGGGTCCTCCCTGTAAATAAATTACATATTTTGTTCCTCTCATCGCAGAGAAGATTCTAAACATGAAGACCTTTATAAGCAAGTTACTAAAGCCTGTCATGTTACAGAAAACAGAACTGTGAGGCTTTACCTATCTATACCCAGAAACATGAACCTGAAAAGATTTATGAATTTGTCTGGTCAAAATCAGTGCAAGAGCACAGCATAAATTAGTTAGGAAGTCAGAAAGAATCCCAGAATAATGTCTGTGGATCTGTAGGCCACACTTACTCAAGACTGTGTGTGGCTCCACCATTAGAAAAACCCTGGAAAAAATGTGGTTTGTAATAGAGATTGCAAAGTGGCCACCACTGGTCACAAAGAACATTTGTAAAAAGTAGCTGGATGACACACCATATTTTTTAGGAATGTTCTAGGCTGAACTTCTGATGAGGACATGATGAACTAGATGTCCCTGATGAAGCAGACATGGCATAATGGCTGAAATCAGCAGCCAGAGGATGGATTCTGGCCAGCATAATCTCTCTAGAGAAAGGAAGAATTGTGGGATGATGCACATATAGCCCAGGAAGCGCACTCATAAATGGACTGCAGAAACCGGTGTTTTTGCAGTCAGCTGATGAGCATAGTAGAGGAATGTCAACTATGTCCAGTTATAATATGGTGTACAGTATATGGATATAAAGCTTGGCCAAGCCGATTTCTTAAACACTTGGAATTTTTCTATTCCTTTTGCTTTGTATTTGTTTTTATCTGTACAATTATAATCTTTAATTAAATCATGTTTAAAAAGACAAATGCTCCAGGGATTGATGAGGCAAAAGTAGAACTTTAACTTCCAGACTAAGTGTATGTTATTATCACTGACAAAAATAAATATTGCATTTCACAGTAAGACCATCATATTCCTCTTTAAGGTAGATGGGAGGTTTAGAAATATGAAATATTAATAAAATAAACACCAATATGAAAGTGTAGTAAGGTTTTTGCTGCCTCAAAACCCGGTAACTTATCAAGTTCCTGCCAGTGAGGCAGGAATTCTGCTTTATAGTAGAGTTTTACCAGAGACCATCATGATTATCATTGACAATGAAGTTCAAATAGATTCTGAAGTAAGACAGTGATTTCAGATATAGAAATATACATTAGAATGGGTAAAGCCCAAATTCAGTGTTTTGAAATGGCCAACTCAGTCTAAAATTGAGCCCCATAGAAATGTGACAGGACCTGACATGAGCAGGTTATGTTAGAACACTTCGAAAAATATTGCTTAGCACTGTAAAGAGTATGTTATAAAAGCTGCAGTTCAAAATATATTAAGGTTGACAGAAGTTATTAAAGACAAAAACAGATTTTTCAGATATGTTAAAAATAAGAACAAAGAAATTGGTGCCCAGTTTAAATACTGTATTGCAAAATACTAACATTGTATAGGGCATGATTGCATATTGTCTTCTAAATTAGATGTGTTTGGGGTTTTTTTTAACATATGGATTTTTTCTTCTTATTTAACAGGTTCTTTAATTAATTGGTCAGGCCAGGGTTTACAAAAACTAGGACCAACTTTAGCCTGTAATGCAGACATACATACTCTGATTTTGGATAAAAATCAATTAATTAAATTGGAACACCTGGAGAACTATAAGAACTTGATGCAGGTAGGGTTTTTTTAAATACATGTGAGCAAATATGCTTTGTTAATTAAATTATTTAAATTTGGGGGGGAAACTTGGAAAAAGAAATTGTAATGTTTCATTCTGCATGTTATGAGCATAAGTTATGCTCAGTAGTAACCTTCAATGAATATGAGTCCAATACAATATTTGATTCTCCACCTTTCTATGCACACACTGTGTACTCAAATTAGAACAACTAATTATCTTTGTATTAGTTAATATTTCTTATATTTATTGGTTTTGAAGTAATTAAAAGCTTCTGACAGAATATTATTGGGAAGACACATTCTGTAAAAACGAATTTTGAAAGCCCTTTTGTAGGTGCAGTCACAAAGTGACTGATATGAAAGGAGGTTTAAACTACACTTAACTTCCAATATAAGAATACAGGCCTGGAGATAATTGGTAGGGATTTATAGGTTAGTATAAGCATTTTAAATTACACACAAAAGCCTATCTTCATTAAGTCACCCAGAGTGACCTTGTATGGAAGATGGGTGGCATAGAAATTTAATAAATAAAAATAAATGCATGGCTGCAACACCAGTGAAATGTGCCTCCACTGGGAGAGATCAGTCAGCACATAGACTGCTGTTCTCTTAACAACTGCAGCTTTTAAGTCAGACCAATGTAAAGCATGTTAGTAGTTTTAAACAGGTAATGATGAAAGCATGGGTCATTGCAGCAAGAGCCTCGCACTCCAGTTTGGGTTGCAATTCATTCAACATAGCATGATCTTCTTCCAGACTGGGTTGCAACTGATACAACCATAGCCTTCCCCCACAATGTTAGTATCTTGCAGTAAAGTACTAACCTCTAGCATTGGTTGGTATGTACATACTTTCCCATTTATAGTTTTCCCCAAGAATTAAAATAATTATAAGCAAAATTGAAGCTATTTGTCCATTTTCTTGCAGTTGTCAGTAGCCAACAATCGTCTAGTGCGGATGATGGGTATAGCAAAGTTGACTCATCTTCGAGTGTTAAACTTGCCTCACAACAGTATTGGTAACGCAGAGGGATTGAAAGAGCTAATGTACCTGGAGTGGTTGAATCTGGCAGGAAACAATTTAAAGGTAGGTTTTCTTTAAATAATCAAATAAACAGCAAATAATGAACAAAATAATTCTTGCATCTAGCCTTTTAGAGGGGTTGTATAGAAGGGGTAGTCTTTTAAATTGAAATTGTAAGTAAATACTTAAAACAATAAAAATGTTAAACCAATATAGTAGTATTGTATTTAATTTATGTCATACCTAGGAACTTGATTAAGGCAAAATGTTTGGAAATGCAATATTACATAGAATGGAATAGGATAGGATAGAATTTTAAAATTAGAGGGGAAAACTTCACTAGCCTACATTATGCTGACAATGCTATCCTGATAGCCCCTCAACCATACAGATAAGATTTGGGCAATGTTTAGGCAGTGAAGAACCTTTCTAGTAATAAGTATTGTTCGCTTGGTGAAATAATACTATAAAAATAAAAGCTTTTCTGTAGCTAATGCTGGACTTTAGAATTCCCTTTCGTGAGATAAACATCCTTCCTTAATTGAACTTTTGCTGTAATGGAAAGTCTGTCAGTGCATACTTTTAACATGTGTTTTATGGAAATACCTTCTTAAGAGTTTTCATATTTTTATTTGTATTCTGTGGCCTATTATAATTTTAATATTATTAAATTTAATTTCTTTGTCAACTCTAGATGTTTAAAATTAGAAATGAGATTTAATTATTTTAAGTAAGATATTATAGGTAAATTACTTTAGACTTGTATTATAGCAGACAGAAATCGATTACATTTAAAAGAATGAGATTATTTCTGTTTATTTTCAGAGGAATTCTCCTTCTTTCCTTTCTTATCTTTACACTTCTGTGCCTGAACATACATTTGTCACTTTGTAGGAGTTCTACTGTAGTCCTGCTTTTTAAAATATATAATAATTTAATGCAAATTTTAGAGTCTTGGAATCTTTGTTTTATTAGAATTCAAGCTGCTAGAACAGAGTTATGCAACTTTTTCTGGGCAGGAAGTTACATTTAACCTTTGAAAGATGTGCAAGTTAGCGGACTCCAGAAAGTAGTGGATGGAGCCACTAGAAAGTACATTTTATTTTATTCCATTTAAATTTTTTTTACACTAAGTGGGAAATACGATTGTACTTTTTTCAAGTATTTTATGTTTTTAAAACTGCTGTTTCATAGCAACTTTTGGAGGTTCCCGAGACTGCATCAAGGATTTCAGAAGTGTCTTTTGAGTTTTATAATAATGACCCTATGTTCCAGAATCATTAGAGTCAGATTTATTAGAATAAAACTAAAATCCAATGCAAAACAGTCACTTAAGGTAAATATGCATCTAAAAATAGTGATGAATATTCCTCTGACCAAGCACATAACTAGTAGTTTCCTGCTTTGGATATTTCCAAGATGCTTTCCAACCCTTATAGTCTGTGATTTTTTTGTATCTTTTCTATTATTTCTAGGTTCACAGGCTTTCTCCACACAATCTAGGTCCTATTTTTCCTCAATATTTTTCACGTTGGAACCTAATTTACTACATTTACGTGTAATATTAAAACAGTTAGAAACTCTATCATTCAAAGGCCTACTATTAGATATGATTTAACTTCTATACACCTTTGTCATAAATTAAACTCAACCAGAATAAAGCACACATTCTTTTTTAATTATGGAAGATGAATTTATAGCATGTCTTAATTGAGAGCCAGTTTGATGTAGTGGATAAGGCATCAGGCCAGAAACTGAGAGGTGAGTGATGTTGGGCCAGTTACTCTCTTTCAGTCTTAGGAAGAAGGAAATGGTAAACCATTTCTGAAATCTTGCCAAGAAAACTGAACGGACTTGTCCAGGTAAGTGCCAGGAATTATCTCAGATTCAAGGCACCCCATGCCATATTATTTAATGTACCTTCTTTGATATTAAGAACTGTAAGTAATTGCAACTATTAAACTTCATACTGATGCTGAAAAATATTTTGTCTTCTTTTAGACTATAGACCAGATCAGTTGCTGCACATCTCTTCAACATCTTGATTTGTCAGATAACAATATACCCCAAATAGGAGATATCTCCAGACTTTCATCTCTAAAGGTAAATATTTTTAAGCTTATATTCTTTGATGGTCTAAATATTCCAAATTAAGGAGTGAGTTCAGAGCAGCATTGTTGGCCTTTAACTGTAATAAAGTTTTGATTTTATTCACAAGAGCATTTTCTTCAGGTAGCTATGAATAAGATGTAGTGCAAAGCTGTCTCAAATAAAAAAAAAAAACCTTTAAAGGCTTGTAAAACAGTCATGTCCGTCCATGTGGCATTGGATAACTAGTAATGCAGCCTCACAAGATACTAAAAAATATTTTAAAATAAAGGCACACACACACACACACACTAACTATATTCTGTATATTTTTATGTGACTTAAAACAATTGCTCTGTGCTCGGTGCAGCCCAACCAAGCCAAAAGCCAAACCAAAATGTTGAATCACCATGCTTTAAAACATAGTTTGGGTACATAGTAATTTATGCTGTAGTTCCACTAAAATGAATGGTCATGATTAACTAGTCAATGATTAATATCATTTAGATCTAACATATTACATTTCTAAATGTAACTAAACTAAAGAGAAAATAGTTATGAACATTTTTTTACATTCCCTTGAAATATTTATTTTTAACACACACCCATGTGTTAAATATAAATGATATTTCAAGTGTGTGTGTGTGTGTGTGTGTGTGTGTGTGTGTGTACACCTATGTATTCAGTGTATTAGGAATATTCAGAGCAATTCACATTATTAAAGTATATGTCTAAATATTGTTTTCTCCATTTTACTATTCCTGAAGACTCTGCTGCTGCATGGAAATATAATAACTTCACTGCGTTCAGCACCTTCTTGTTTACCTCAAGGCCTGACTATTTTTTCACTAGCAGAAAATGAAATTAGAGATTTGAATGAGGTAAGAATAACATTTTTGAGGAAAATGGAATAACTTTGAGAAAGAAATCAAATACAATCTAAATTACTATAGTTACATTTCATTATATTTTCATCTATATTTTTCTTTTTATTGTTACGTTTTGGGCACAGAAGACATGTAGATTTTAAAATTAAATGACAGTAACTAGCAGTCATTTAATTAATGATTGTTTAAGTAATTAAATATGTTAGCAATTAAAGTAATTAAAATACTGTAAAGAGGAAATGACATTCTTTGAGATAGAGTCTTAAAGTAAGTTCTTTGCAACATATTTTTGCAATTTAAATATGTTACTATGAACAAAAATAAATTTTGGATTACTTACATAATGCTTTACATTTAATAAACAGAAATGAAAACAAAAATAAAATTGATCCTCCGTAAGGGGAGAGAGGAACAAATGTTCCTGGTTCAGATATTTTGTACCTTTTTTTAGCGATGATGGGCTTAAATAGATTAAGAAATAGAAATATCTTTTGAAAGGCACTGTGAATTTAACTTTGGTTTAAACACACTTTCAAACGGAGCAGGGAGGAATGCAAATATAATCATGTAATTACAAATATTTTCCTCTTAAAATTGTCAGAAATTATACTTTGGGTCATCATGATGAATGGACAGTATTCCATTTTCCATTTCCAGTTTTTTCATAATCTGTCAAAAAGAACTAGTTCAGTCTGCAGCATGATTTTTTAAAAAATGTTAAGACATTGGTAATGATCTTATTTAATCTCTCTTGAGCCATAAAAACTCACCGTGATTTTGAGTCAGGCTCGTTCTCTTACCACAAAGTACTTCCCTAGGTTTGTTTTCTGCAGGTAAAGAGGATCTACGATCATGTGGCTGACTTTTTGTTTTTATATTCTTAATTTCATGCCCAGTTATACCAATAACAAAGAAAAGAAATACTGTACAGATAGTCCTTTGCTTAACAACATTTGTGACCGTTCAAAGTTTCAACAGCACTGAAAAAAATGACATATGACCAGTTTTCACATGTCCATTACAGTGTAGTTATAGTATCCCACGATGATATGATCACCATTTGTAACTTTCTCATATGGCTTTTGACAAGCAAAGTCAATGGAAGAAGCCAAATTTGCTTAACAACTGCATGTTTCACTTAACAGATGCAGTGATTCGCTTAACCACAGTGACAAAAAGGTTGTAAAATGGGGTGCAACTCATTTAATTGTCTTGCTTAGCAATGGAAATTTTGGGCTCAATTGTGGCTGTAAATCGAGGATTTATAATTGAAATGTCTTCCATATTATAATAAACCTATTGGCAAAAAATATTCTAGTATTCTAATAAAATATATTTAATAATTCTAAGAAATAATAAAATAAAACAATAGTCTGAATAAAATTAAGCAAGTAAAATTATTTTTCCCTCAAACATCTAACATATCTAAGCTATAGGATATATCTATAGTGCTACTCAGCCTATAAATTTTCTTTCCATTTAATCACCAAAATAATTGTTTCCTTTTCTTTTTAGATTTCTTTCTTGACCTCTTTTCCTAAACTAGAGCAACTCTCAATTATGAACAATCCTTGTGTGATGGCAACACCTAACATTCCAGGTTTTGATTACCGACCATTTATTGTCAATTGGTGTCTCAGTCTTAAAGTAATTGATGGATATGTGGTTTCTCAGAAAGAAAGGTGAGAACATGATTAAATTGAGTGTTGCCATTAATTAAAGGTAGCAAGAATAAATACAAAAATTTCAAGGGATTAGAAAAGCATGTGCCCAACTGAAAGAATGCATGAGATAACAATGATTAAAATTTGGGAAGTACAGTGGTTGCAAGGAATGAAAGAGAAGAGTGAGAAAGTTGTGATTTTGTAGTAGTGGTTAAAATTGATGACCTCAAAAAGAAAGAGATGAAATGTTTAAAGAACAAAAAGTAGTACATAAATCAATATACAGGCATGCTTGCAGCAAGGTTTATTTGGAAACTTAAAAGGCTAGATAGGTACTGTAGAACAGTTACATTTCTTTCCTTGTATTATCTTCCTTTAATTGTTTACTTATTATTATTTACTTTTTTTCTGAACTTTGCATAACATAATTTACTCTGAAAGGGAATAATATGAGACCATGTATGGATAATACTGAGTAGAAAAAGTATTTGTTGTTTATGAAATATAGTTTTTTTTTATATGAATGCATTTACTGATTTTCATTTATGCATGTTTAAGTCTAACAAATTCTAAGGCAAATTACTGTACTTCCAAGTTCCGGTTTTAATTTATATACTCCTGAAGATAAAAGCAGACACTGGATACTTAGTATGTAGCTGAAATAGTTTATTTTGGAGTTCATGAAAATTACTGCTTTTTCCCAATGTATTATGATATATCAACAATTGATTAATTTTTTTGCTATTGGTTCTGAGTTACATCTATTACTTCTGGATTTCAATTACTGTTCTTTATGCTCTTATGTTTCTAATAGAAAGTGCTTTCAAGATGTTTAGTACAATTAATATTGGTTTTGTGTACAGCTTGAAAGCAGAATGGCTTTACAGTCAAGGAAAGGGAAGATCATTCCGACCAGGCCAGCACCTTCAGTTAGTACAATATTTGGCCAGTGTTTGTCCTCTTACTACTATGTTTGGACTCCAGTCAGCAGAGGATGCCAAACTGGAAAAAATACTACATAAGCAAAGGTGTGAATATCATTATGTATAAGTCATTTTTATATAATTTAATATAATCATTTTAACTTGTTCAAGCAGGCCTTAATTCATAAGGTTTTCTTAAACTGCTTTTTAAGGTCAAAAAAGTTGATTTGCAGATATATATGTATTTTTCTAACTCTTGCTAACATTTGTGATATTAAAGAAGAGTGGTTCTCTGCTCTAGTATTCTTAAGTCATGAAATAAAATCATTTAAATTTTTGTATTTAGGTTGCATCAGAGGCAATTGATGTATCAGAGCCATGCCAATGAGTCACTTGTATCCTCAACTCTGAATAAAGGACTACCCATTAATAATGAGCCAAACAGTCCTGCCCATGTACAACAAGAAATAACCGAAGGTGGTAAGAATTAATATCCACTGTGTTTTCATCACTCTTGTCACCAACTTGTCTATAGGCTTGAAATCAGTGATTGGGTACACATATACAGGTTCATAATCATAGTGTGCCTTGGTGCTAGATTACTATACTGAATCATTCAAACTCAAATTCACAAATATATTGTAATATATTTAACAAACTATGGTTCAGTTGTGGCATACTATAGTAGACAAAATGGGATCATGTATTGGTGGAATTCAGGGTAGGACTAGGAATAATGAAAAAATATATTGCAAATGGAGTTTAGTGCTAAGTTGAAATTGATTATGCAGACTGTAAATCCATACAGCAAATTAATTTGTAATAACAAAACTGCACAAGGCAGTCAAAGAGGCATTTTCAAAAGAGGCTTACACTGCTACTTCAGTAACCCCTTATGGATATAGGCACTAACAAAGAAATGGTTGTTCACACTAACACATGTTATAGTGCATATTTTGACTACTTTGTAATATGTAATAGGCTAAGATTATTAGGTGAAATCTTGAAGATTTTGTTCAATATTAATAGTTAAAATTTATTTTAAAAAACTGATCCAAAACAAAAATGCCTTTCTTTACTAAATGGATGTGAATTGTAACCATAGTTGGACATAGAAAGCATCACTGTAGAACAAGCTTAAATATTTCTGATATGTTAGAATTGTTTTTCATTCTTCCTTGTCTTTGAAGAAACAAAAGATACTTTGTTTGGTTTCATAAAACAGCTGACACAAACCTCTATGTCATCAACAGCAGTGGCAATAATTGTGTTTGTTTTAAAACTATTTAAAGCCAAGCTTCTGAATCTTTTAACTTTATTAGCAAATCTAAAACTGTAAAAGTTTAAGATTTTGGGATAGTTCATGTAGATCATAAGCTTTAATTTTTGAATGTTGGTTTCATGATGTTTTGGAAAGCCTCAGAAGTCTTCAAAAGCTTTCTGAAGCATCATGAAAATGGCAATGACAATTTGGTGAACTGTGGGTGAGGCCACTAAAACTGACGTTTTAGAAGGCCTCAGAGGCAATCATTCATCTATATCAGGGGTGTTAAATTCACATCGTCATGGCGGCATCATGTGATTCATCATGTGATTTTCCCCCCCTCCCCTTAGCTAAAACAGGCGTGGCCTTGGCCAGCATGTGACATATCAGGCCCACGGGCCAGGAGTTTGACAGCCCTGATCTGTATGGATGAAAGTAAATACTAGATACATTGGTTACTCCATCTCATTCTCTCTCACTTAAAAGTACCTGGTCATAGAAAATCTTTTCCCCTCACAACAGTGTTTTGTTCTCTCCTCTGCTGTTTTAGTAAGTTTAAAAAAATAAGCATTGGGTGAAAGGCTTTGTTCCTGTGATAAAATAGGTAGAAACCATGGAATATATACTTCTTCATTGCTCTTTTATAGAGACATTCAATCTAGATTTATTCTCCTTTTGATCAGCAGATATCCTAATTTCTCACTCAGTCTAGGCTCAGATGCTACTTATATATGAACTTTCATTTATTACAGTGCATTTGGCTACATATTGAACTGCAGCATCTCAAATCTAGATGTATTTTTAGATATTGTCATATTTTATCTAATCTTCGATATTATATTTATAGCTTATATTTAAGAGTACCTTTCTTTGACTTACAAGTCTTAACCTGCTTTAAAGATATATTTCAATTTTGGTAATAATTTTTTTATCTACTAGATTCTTAACTATTTAAGTGGTTATAGACTATATTTCTAATGATTTCAGCCATTTAATAATTTCTGCTTATCTAAGTCCACCTTGTATTCTGTCCATTGGTCTTGGTAGAGCCTGATAGAACATTGGAAGGAGGCTCTATATAGCATACTCCGAGCCTGATAAAGGTCTGTAGTTATGAAATCTCATGAAATACTATTTGCAGGGGCCTTGCTGAGGTGAAATTCCCTTTAATCTAAATAAAAGAGGTTTTATCGGGATGAAGAGTCTGCTTCATGATCTTGGAAGGCCTAGGTCAGAACACGATGGAACAGGGTTAGGGGATCCCTGCCCTAATCCCTAATTAATCAAAAGACAGATATGAGTACCGTGTTTCCCCAAAAATAAGACCGTCTTATATTTTTTTGAACCCTGAAATAAGCACTTGGCCTTATTGCCATGCGCTTAAAAGCCTGATTGGGCTTATTATCAGGGGATGTCTTATTTTGGGGGAAACAGGGTAGTAAATGTTTGGCAAAAATACATACATACATACATACATACATAAATATTGAATGTCTATGTGTTTTATCTTAATCTCTTTCCCAGAACGTATTATTAAAAAGAATACCTGGGTTGTGACAAAATCCAATGATGACCATTCTTATGCAGTTAAAAATGTTTCTCCAACTTCGGTACAAGCTGAAAGAAATACTTTTAAGGATTTTTATTTGGATGATATACAAACTGACGAGGATAAATTGAATAGTAGTCTCCTATCTTCAGAATCTACTTTTATGCCTGTTGCTTCAGGGCTGTCTCCAATGTCGCCCACTTCAACAGAACTGAAACTTCATGGAATTGGCATTGATATAGAGGATGTGGAAGATGTGGGGGATACATATTTGGAATTTACAAAAGATATTAATATGCAGAACAAAGAAAAGCAGAAAAGTGATTCTGTGCTTTTGGGAAAGTACACCCTCAAGTCAGCAGATGTGGTAGAAACTCAAAATGCATATCAAGAGGAGGATATTTTCCCCATTGCTTCTTCTTCAGTAAACACTGATATTCAACCAGATGACGTTAGCAGTTATCAAGCATCCCTTGATGACAATGTAAAGTTCAGTAACTTAAAACAGACACACTCACCTGAAGAGAATGTTATCAAATGTGTTTCTGTTGCTAGCTCTCTAGAACTGTCTACTGATGCATCAGTTACTGTAACCCATAAGAAAAATGAACTTCTAGAAATGAATAAAGCTGCCACCAAGCTTCAGGCCTGTTGGAGAGGATTTTATACAAGAACATTCCATCCCAGAGTCAGGGAAGCACACTATGAAATTCGACTCAGCAGAATGCAAGAACATATCATTCATTTAACTGAAGAAGTTCAAAAGTAAGTAGGAAGTAAACTGAAATAATAGGAAAGGAATAAAATTTGCTATAATTTGAGATCCATAAATTTTACCTGAAAAAAATATCAAGTATAATTCGGGTGGTGGGTTTGTTTCATTTCCTTCAGTTGGTAAGCTCCTCTTTGTTCTCCAAATGAAGGCAAAACTCACCAACTTTATAAAATGGAGTATTCTTTCAAAAATAAGTTATTTGTTCGCATAATCAAAGGAGAAAAAATTCTCTTCAGTGTCTCTAGCGAAATTAAGTTGTATTGTTATTAGAACGGATGAAATTGGCCTATTTAATCAATAAACTGATGTAAATATATTTCCTCTCCAAAACTCCATTCTTCACCAGAATCTATTCTTAATGCAGTACAAGTAGTCCTCGACTTACAACCACTTCCTTAATACCATTTGAAGTTATAACAGCACTGAAAAAAATTACTTATGACTGTTTTTCACACTTACGATTCTTGTAGTATTCCCATAGTCATGTAATCAAAATTCGGACACTTGGCAACTGACATGTATTTATGACGTTTGCAGTATCCTGGAGTTATATGACCACATTTTATCACCTTCTGACAAGCAAAGTCATTATTACTAACTTTACAACTTCAGTAATTCACTTAACTATAGCAAGAAAGGTTGTAAAATGGGGCAAAACTCACTTAACAATTGTCTTGCCTAGCAACAGAAATTTGAGGGTAATTATGGTCGTAAGACAAGAATACCTATAAATAATTGTATTGCAGCAAAAGTGGTGATCAAAGTGGCAACACTTTTAAAGCTTGATGTATATATGAAAATCATTTGCAGGTTAAGAAAAGAAAAAAATGAAGAGAAGCTTCAAAGACTTGTGCAAGAGGAAGCTGTCAAATTTCTTTGGGATCAGGTAGGATTAGTTTTCCTAAATATTCATTTCTATGAATAAAAACTAAAATATTCTCCTGAAACCTTGCTGTGTTTTACAGTTGACCCAATTAACTTTGTGTGAAATGAGATATTATAAATATGCAATTACATATAAAATTATATATTATCTTTTCTTTTTGTGGTTTATACAGGTTAAATCTATTCAGGAATGGCAGCTTTCAGTAAACCAACACCTAAGTAATATCTGGAAAAAAGATTCCCCTGCGTGTAGCATTCTGGGTCCACATGAATTATTCATACAGTCATCTAGACCAAATCAAGAACCTTCTCCTATTGATAGTTCAACTTGGTTAGGTTCATCTTCTGAAATGTCTCATCAGAAATGTTTACAGGAATATCCTGATTCAGGTTTCCATTCCTGTGTATCAGACCAAAATATCCTTAATGAATTGCAGAACTCTGAAAAACATTTGACAAAAACAAATGAAGGCTTTCTAGGAAATTCTCTGCAAACAGTTAAGCCCTATGAAGATTTTCTTTCGGGAAGCCTTTCTGATGCTGTGATCCCAGTTGACCACAAGGAATATTGTAAAGAGAATTTGAACAATGATCAGAACAATACTCTTCTCCAAGAATATTTAAAAACAGTTGAGGAACTAGATGATTCTGATGAAAAGACAAATTGCAGCAATGGAATAGAAAGTTGTAAGACCAATACAGCTGTTTCGTCAGAAGAAAAGGATATTTTATGCAGTGCTGTTTTAGTCTCTCAGGATGTGCTTCCATTAGCAGAAGAAGGAATTGATACATTCGATCTAAATGATAAAATGGCAGAAAAAAAGACAAACTGTGATTCTTCATTGCAGACACTTTCTGTTAGGCTATCTGTATAGCAAGCATAGACTGACAGAAAAATTTTTAAAAGCCACATTAACATTTTATGTTATTAGACCAATTTCTATACATTTTGGGAGATATCGGTCGTCTTGCTTTTAAAAATCGCTTGTTAGAGGATTAACGCTTGTTAGAGGATTAACAAACAGGTTTGTTAATCCTCTAACATTAGATTTACACTCTATTAAATTATATCAAGATAGGTTCAAATAGACATGGTAACATAACATTTTATGTGGTTTCGTTATCACAGATTTTTATGACTCTTAAGTACTTTACATATTGCTGTTATCATAGCTGAGCTAAACAACTGTTTTCTCCAAGGAAACAAAGCATGTATCCTTATTGTAATATTCAAAGAAAGAAATATAAATATTTAATTTGACGAATAAGGGCAGTATGCAGAAGTTTATATTTGAAGGCACAAACATAGCATCTATCTGCAACCCTTTAAGGCAGATTTCAGGTTAAGGCATTGATAGAAAGTGTTATTTTTGCATCCCTACATGATCTGAAACATTTTTGCCTGCAAATCTGAAATGCTATTTCTCCCAATGGTCACACAACATACAGTTAATAATATAAGAGAGAGAGTGTTTAATTAATAGTCTGAAAATGTATGCTGACACACAGGTACTAAATTATAAGCTTGGAAATTTTGGAAATCTTGTTCCATTTACAGATCTTTCTTTTAAAAAAACAATGCCAGTCGGTTGACTCATCAGTACTACAAACGTTTTTCTACAAACGTGACTATTGAATTCCACACAGCTGAGTCCAGTCTGTTATCACAGAGGACTGTTTTTATGAAGTCATATTTCTTTGTTTCATTTGCTGGGACAGTGGGAATTTTTAAAAAAAACGCAATGCAACAAAACAAACCAGTTTGAAAGTGTGTGCGGGGGGAGGAGGGGGGGTTGAGAAGAGGCAACTTCTCACACTATATTCTCATGATATGAACAATTTGCCTATTTTGCCAAGGTCAGAATGTGTATAAAGACAGTACATATTCAATTTTATACCTAAGAAACAAAAAAATGAGAGGGTTTTCTTAAAAATAGATCAGCATTATATGGCCATGGCTGCTAAAACTATACAGAATAATTGTTTAATACCATTACCTGCTTAGTAGATTGCTAAGACAAAGAAGCAAGTGGCCATGTTTTCTAGTTGCTTAGGGAGGATTGACTGCTAAACATATTGCCACACGTTAATATGAATTAACAATATTCATTCTGGTATTCATGGAGAATGCCTACATCCTACTGCTTCACCATATAATGATAAAGAAAGCAACAATTCTTCTTTACAGATTCCACTGTTTCTATCAGTAAATGCTTTGTATTTTTTCATTACTAATAATTAATAGTTATTGTCAATAATAAATATTTTTCTATTCATAAATTCCGGAATTTTTAAAAGTTGTAACTTTGTTCCCAGTATTAAGTATATAATCAAGTATACATTGTTCTTGGCTTAATGAGTCAATTGCAAATATTGCCTTGAGAAATTGTTATGCCAAATACAGGAATAGGTTTATTATGTCAAATTTAACTTCAACTTGGTATTCTTTTTCGGAATTCAAGAGTTTATGCTGCCAATCTTAAAATTAGAAAACAAAAGCTGGAAAAAAAGCATTGCTTAAGAGATCTTGAATTTTACCACAACTACCTTTATTCAGAATGACCCATTGCATTTAAATATTTTGGTCATTTGCATCTCTTTTTTAAAAAAATCTACTGTAAAGTGTTATAGAATGCATGTACTGTATGTATACAATATATACATGCTCAATATGTACATGTTCTAGTATATATTGGCCATAATGCTATAAAATTAATCTCTATGCTAAAGCAGCATAAAACCAATGCACTGTTTAAACTTGTTATAGAGATTAGTTAAAAGCTTATTCTTTTTGTAGGAAGAAATCTAAAAATATCATTTTTAGAGAATTGCAGATATATTCTTTAGAAAATACTACTTCAAGGGAAAAGTTAAACGTGCTTAAATGGAGTTTAAAATATACTTGTTTCATCTCGTTTTTCTTGAACTTCATATCTGTCTTTGTAAGGCTCAGTATTTGTATCTCTTAGTTATAAACAGTATGTTTGTGTACATTTACATTGTAGCTGACTTAATATTATTTGTCTTCTGTCCTATAAAAATGAGTAGGGCTCCAAAGTTGGAGTATGGGACAGAGCAAAAAATATTTTTTGTTCACTTAAGCAAAATTGTTCATTCTGTATTGGAATAAATACAGGATAATTTTTTTCTGCTGTGAGTAAAACATTGTGAAGTTAAGAGGAATGCATTGTGATTGTAAGGAAATTGCTTTCTGTGTTTTGATGTAGGTATTGATACTTTTAGGTATATATTGCTGCAATATATTTGGAAAAAATAATGAAAAAAACATCTTTTACAAGGGCTAAAAGAGTTAATGAGTCCAGTTTTCAAAGAAGTTTCCAAATGATCATATTGTGATTATAACTGGAGTTTCAAAACCCACATTCACAAAGCTTTTATTCATTATCAATATGCAAAATCAAAACTTTAACCCTCATCATTTGATAATGTGCAAGTGTGTGAACTTTCTCAGTTTTACATATTTACATATTTTGATTATTTTCTATGGTTACGTGTGATATTTTTGTTATCAGAAAAAGTTACAGCTTTATAGAGAGGAAAAATATATTTGCTTTTATCTTGGGAAATAATATATATGAATATTTAAATTAAACAATGCAATTTTATTTGATTAAAATTGTCATTGGATTCTTACTGGATACATAAGAGAGAAAGTTGATGCATTACTTTAAAAAACTTAAATTTATATACAAAACTCATCCTGAGATAAATGAGTTAACATTATCTTGATTTATACATAACATTAGTTTGTTTTTTTAATTTCAGATTTTCCTATTTTGGAATTCATTGTTGTTTGTACACCTTTTAGGACTTGGCATTACAAGTGAATAAAACAAATTAAGCTTTTTAAAAGACTTTTTTGACTAGCATGATCCATGAACCTTTTACTGAAATAAGCAATGGGAAAGAAATAAGGAATAAGTAGAAAAGAGGAACACATTTTTCTTCCTTCCTATTTTTCTTATACCTCCTACATGTCTAAATACTCAGTTCTGCTTTCTCTGGTTCATAATGCAGCGTGGGAATGGAAACCTTTCTTCCTCCCAACTAGCAATATAGCAAATATATTGTCTAGACAATATATTGTTCTATAAGTAGTATAACACATGGTATGTAATGTATTCTGAGGCAGATGCTTTTTCCAAGTATATCCTCTCTTTAGGAAAATCTTTAAGCGGAGTCCAATGCTGGTCTTGATCAGCTGATTTAAGAGAAGTCAATTCTCTCTTTCTCTCTTGTAACTATCCCAAATCTGTTACAAATTTGGGAACAGTCTACAACAATTTTTAGGAAGGGTATAAATGGACCCTTACTTTTTTTTAATTAATTGTACATTAAATTATGTTTTTTAATGTTATTTTCCTCTAAGTAAAACTTTGTGACTACTGTAATATGAAGAAGCTGGTTTTTATTGTTTGTGTTTGTGTGTGGTCTGTGTAAATATAAATCTTTATAGATTTAATATTTTGGCTGTAATCTTTAACAAGAGATTTTTTACTGAGATCAGTGAATTCTACTTTTACATAAGCACAGTTTTATTATCTTTAATGTAAGTGTAGTTAAAACTGAAAATAAAAATATGGCCTTATTAATTTCATATCAATCAGTATTCATAAAGTGATCACTGTTCCTAAACTGGGTAAATTCCATATGACTTCTTCAAAGCCATATAATCTAATGCTTCTGTTACCGAATTTAAAAGCTTCCAGGTCATTGTCAAAAAGAGAAGAGGAGTAATGCTAAGGGAAAGAAAAACACTCTTAAAAAGATTTTATTTTAAAAAATGTCCATGTAAAGTTCTCTCTAGAATGCAAATAGGCAACATGATTGCATACTTGACCGTGGTAATTTGCTCAGCCAGAAACTGTTATTTACAGAAAACTAATTTGACTGTAATATAGCTTTTATAATTTGAATTTAAAATATAATCGGCATGTTTCGATTTTTGAAAATTTGCATTTGGGAATAATTTATTTTGATGTAATAAAGAATTCTGAATTAAGATATGCTTGTAAGTCTGAAATGATTTATTTGCTGCCTGATTAATATGTTCATTTTTTTGTGAGCCATAGCAATTGGAATTGGAAAGCTTCAACTGATAGTTGATGGGTTAAAACTGCATTTTTTAAACACCCAGCAGTGAAGAAAGCATTGCTCCTGGTTATCTTTTTTTTTTAAAAATTAATAAATAAAATATTTGGTGGATCTTAGTCAAGCTTTTATTTTACCATACTTCTGAGATTACGTACAACACAGCTGGGCTTTTGCAAGTTATCTGCATTACAATATAGGAAACTGAACACAGCCATTACCGTGTAACTCTTGGTTTATGGCTTAGGCTGTTATGCAAATTGTGGCAGTTGTGGTTTAATGCCATATGTCAATTTACTCAATACGTTTTTAATCCTTAAATCCAGAGGGCCCGTTATGAAGCAGTGTGTTACAAAAAAGAGGGACAGACCCTGAATAGGCATCAAAATCATGACGTTTGAACGTTACCTTCTATCCAGCTTGAACTCAGGACTGTTTCCCCGCAAATCTTAAAAGCTATTTTATACACTGCCGGTTTACAGTGTTTAAGCGGTGCATTTTTCAGCATATGCTCCTTGGCTTTCCATACATAGCCTGTTTGTAGGAGCCAGAAAGAGTACGTTTAACTTTACCACAAATACCCCTTTTATAAAGAGTTAGTGAGGGGACCAGAAATATATTTAATGAAACCGCTCCATTCCAATTTAGACAAACAGACCCCAAAATGAAGCATGCAACGAAAGAAGAAGAGGGACAGCCACCTGCCGAATACAATTACCGCACAGCAGCAGCAGCGATTCAAGTCCGAAGAAGCTAGAATTGCTTCTGCTTTAAAATTCCAAAGCAGCCGATCGACCAGGCGGGCCTGTGCTTGCGCAATAAAAGCGAACCGGCCGGCGGAAGGCGGAGCGAAAACAACCATTTGGCGTCGGTAGCTTCGAGGGTCTTTGCCTTTTCAAGCCCTTCGGCCGGAAGATGCACAACTATCAAACCACATCGGAGAAAGAGGAAGTGGGCGAGGCGAGCCTGCGGATTTCGGCTCAGTCGTCTGGAATTGCTGCACAAGTCGGTTGCTTCGCGTCTTGGCTCTCCTTCCAATGACCTGGTGAGTGCGGCACAGGATCGTAGCTGTGAGTGAGCGGTTTTCTGTTATCGGGGGAGGGGGGCCTAGTAGATCCCATCGGATGAACGAGAAGGCCTCCCCGAACGATCGGCCCACAATGAACCCAGCAGTGCGGGGAGCGACGGATGCAGCAGCTGCAGAGGAGCGACTTGCGATGTCTGCTAACGGTGCTTTTATTGAAAACGTTCTTGGCTTGCAAATTCGGTAGAGCACCTTTCTGGTTTAACGCTGTTTTTTTCCCCCCCCTCCCTCAATCATCAGCAAGGTGACGATCTCCTCTCCTTTGAGGCTCGTTGAAATGGTTCGATTCGTGTTAGCTGGGGTGAATTCAAAATGATGCGATGAAATGGATGGATCTAATAGGTGAGTTTGGTATTGCTAGTTGCTCATCATTGTTATAAGGCAAGAAAGACAAAACTCATAAAAACATAAGAGCCATATTACATCAGAGAAAAGACCATCTCTTCCATGTCTTGTTTACCACAGTAGCTTGACCGAGCTGAGCTTTAACCTGCTTCACCTTTTGCTGCAGTGACCACCTTAGGATTTGTCTGAACTGTTTGTGATGGATTTCCACAGAAAGGAGAACAGTTAGTGCAGCCAGCAACCCATGTTATATTGATTCTTTTGTCCTCAAATAGATCAGACATCCAAATTCCACTTTTAGTGGACAGTGAATGGACTTAACACGAAATGGATTTCAGGAACATCTGAAATTAATGGTGCAGGAGGAAGGGGGAATGCTAGCCCTGTTCTAACTTGGGTCCCCTCCCCCCATTATTTCTCCTTCTCCACATAGTGTTAGATTTAGAGAGGGACAAATAATTTCCAACTGTCCACAGGAAAATATAAAAGGATACTTATAGAGGAATCTAAAATGGTGAGAACCCGTTCCATCCTAGTTGTATTTCATTTTTCTTTTGCAGTTAACTTCTAGTCAAGAAAGACAAAACTCATAAAAACATAAGAGCCATATTACATCAGAGCAAAGACCCATCTCTTCCATGTCTTGTTTCCCACAGTAGCTTGCCCCCAACCACATGCAGAACATGAGAATGTTGCCTTGAAATTCAAGCACCCCAAATTTGGGTTGGAGCTGATAAGAACGTAATCCAAGAATTTGAAAGAAATGTTTTTACCTTCTTTGCCGATCCAAAAAGTATACAGATAAAGAAAAGCATCATTTATTAACAGGGGCTCAAGAGTTTTTATAGAGTACAGAAACAAATGATACATTTGATATATGTGATATGTCAGAAATCAAGTAATCAAATAGTAAAAGATATTGATTACATCTGAGATGCCACCAATGGAAAACGTTGATTCTAGGTTACATTCCACAAGTGGCTGATTTATGGATTGCATTACTCTTTCCCAGCTGGGTTAGTATCAAGGGTTAAATCCAGCAGGTTCTGACAGGTTCTGGAGAACCGGTAGGAAATTATGAGCAGTTTGGAGAACCGGCAAATACCACCTCTGGGTAGCCCCAGAATAGAGATTGTGCAGTATCTTTCCCCTGGAGTTGGGTGGGAATGGAGATTTTGCAATATCCTTCCCGGGAGTGGTGTGGGAATGGAGATTTTGCAGTATCTTTCCCCTGGAGTAGGGTAGAAATAGAGATTTTGCAGTATCTTTCCCCTGGAGCAGGGTAGGAATAGAGATTTTGCAATATCCTTCCCCGGGAGTGGGCTGGGAATGGAGATTTTTGCAGTATCCTCCCCCCAGGAGTGGGGTGAGAATGGAGATTTTGTAGTATCTTTCCCCTGGAGTGGGGTGAGAATGGAGATTTTTCAGTATCCTTCCCTGCCACGCCCACCAAGCCATGCCCACAGAACCGGTAGTAAAAAATAATTGATTTCACCACTGGTTAGTATCTTACGTTTTCCCGAAGTTAGAAAAGAGACTTAGGTTAAGGATTGTATTGTTACCATTTAAAATGCTAATAATAACACGAGGTAACAATTTTAGCAGCCATGGCTGTCTGCCTGGGGTAGAAAGTGGGCAGTCTTTCTCCAGATGAGCAATAATGTATATATTCTCTCAATGGAAAGGTATTCACCAACCTACCTAAAAAGTAAGTTCTATATACTTGTTGTTTGATCATATAGTTGATCTGAAGTTGAGGCATTTATCTGATAAGAGATGATTGATTTCTAAAATGATTTGGAAAAGATATTGAAGAAACTATTGTATTTTATTTCCATATTTTGTTTTTGCATTGATATAGAATGTAAGGCTTGGAAAATATTGAAATATGAATTTCAGTATTCATATGCAACTAGATAAGAAATGTAATGAATTACCTTTTCTTGCATTTTTTCCTTAAATTTTTGAAAGGAATTTTTAAATGATAGAACGATGCATGAGGCTTTAGATTTGAACTAATGCATATTGTTACGAACTTTGGACTGCCAAATAGGGAATTTGGTATTGCTAGTTGATCATCATTGTTATAAGGCAAGAGACATATTTTGAGATACAGATAAGGGCTCTATAAGAGCCAATTGTCTGCCAAGTTTACCACATTCAAAATGGTGTGGAATCTAAAATGGTGCGAACCGGTTCCATCCTAGTTGTATTTCATTTTTCTTTTGCAGTTAACTTCTGGTCAAGAAAGACAAAACTCATAAAAACATAAGAGCCATATTACATCAGAGAAAAGACCCTCTTCCATGTCTTGTTTACCACAGTAGCTTGACCGAGCTGAGCTTTAACCTGCTTTACCTTTTGCTGCAGTGACCACTTTAGGATTTCTCTGAATTGTTTGTGATGGATTTCCACAGAAAGGAGAACAGTTGGTGCAGTCAGAAACCCATGTTATATTGATTCTTTTGTCCTCAAATAGATCAGACATCCAAATTCCACTTTTAGTGGACAGTGAATGGACTTAACACGAAATGGATTTCATTGCAACTTTGGAACATCTGAAATTAATGGTGCAGGAGGAAGGGGGAATGCTAGCCCTGTTCTAACTTGGGTTCCCTCCCCCCATTATTTCTCCTTCTCTACATAGTGTTAGATTTAGAGAGGGACAAATAATTTCCAACTGTCCACAGGGAACTACAAAAGGATTCTTATAGAGGAATCTAAAATGGTGAGAACCGGTTCCATCCTAGTTGTATTTCATTTTTCTTTTGCAGTTAACTTCTAGTCAAGAAAGACAAAACTCATAAAAACATAAGAGCCATATTACATCAGAGCAAAGACCCATCTCTTCCATGTCTTGTTTCCCACAGTAGCTTGCCCCCAACCACATGCAGAACATGAGAATGTTGCCTTGAAATTCAGGCACCCCAAATTTAGTGTGGAGCTGATAAGAACGTAATCCAAGAATTTGAAAGAACTGTTTTTACCTTTTTTGCCCATCCAAGAATACAAGTCACCAAGTATACAGATATAGAAAAGCATCATTTATTAACAGGGGCGCAAGTGTTTTTATAGAGTACAGAAACAAATGATACATTTGATATATGTGATATGTCAGAAATCAAGTAATCAAATAGTAAAAGATATTGATTACATATAAGATGTCACCAATGGTAAACGTTGATTTTAGGTTACATTCCACAAGTGGCTGATTTATGGATTGCATTACTCTTTTGCAGCTGGGTTAGTATCGGGGGTGAAATCCAACAGGTTCTGACAGGTTCTGGAAAACCAGTAGTGGAAATTTTGAGCAGTTCAGAGAACTGGCAAATACTACCTCTGGCTGGCCCCAGAATAGGGTGGGAATGGAAATTTTGCAATATCCTTCCCCCAGGAGGGGGGAGGGAATGGGGATTTTGCAGTATCCTTCCCCTGGAGTGAGGAGGGAATGGAGATTTTGCAGTATCCTTCCCCTGGAGTGGGGTGGGAATGGAGATTTTGCAGTATCTTTTCCCTGGAGTGGGGTGGGAATGGAGATTTTGCAGTATCCTTCCCCCTGGAGTGGGGTTGAAATGAAGATTTTGCAGTATCTTTCCCCTAGAGTGGGGTGGGACTGGGGATTTTGCAGTATCCTTCCCCCTGGAGTGGGGTGGAAATGAAGATTTTGCAGTATCTTTCCCCTAGAGTGGGGTGGGAAGGGAGATTTTGCAGTAGTATCTTTCCCCTGGAGTTGGGTGGGAATGGAGATTTTGCAGTAACCTTCCCTGCCATACCCACCGAGCCATGCCCACAGAACCGGTAGTAAAAAAAAATTGATTTCACTACTGGTTAGTATCTTACGTTTTCCCGAAGTTAGAAAAGAGGCTTAGGTTAACGATTACCATTTAAAATGCTAATAATAACACTAGGTAACAATTATAGCAGCCATGGCTGTCTGCCTGGGGTAGAAAATGGCCAGTCTTTCTCCAGATGAGCAATAATGTTAGTCTCTCAATGGAAAGGTATTCACCAACCTATCTAGAAAGTACCGTATTTTTCGGTGTATAAGACGCACCTTTTTACCCCCAAAAAGGGGGTGAAAATCTGGGTGCGTCTTGTAGACCCGCGATCCCCTTCCCGATTCCAAACATGGGGTGTGTGCAGAGACAAAAAAAAGTGTACCATGTTTCAGGCGGCGGATCTGGCCAGGAAGAAAGAGAAGAGTCTGCTGAGAAGAAGACGGGGGCGCGCGGCTCTGCAATGTGCAGAAAAACACTCTCGGGGCAGCGCTACAATCTCCTCCCCGAATCCAAAGCACTTCCCAGTTCCCTGCTGCACATTGCAGGGGAACTGGCCGCCACCTGAAGCGCGACTCTTGAGGTTTGCATTTTAGAATCCAGGCAGCGATGGCTGGAAAGGAGAAACGTTTCCCTTTAGGGGCTCCCATTCAGCTCGGCTTGGCTCCTGGGCGCAGAGAGGGTTAGGCGGCGGCGGCTCCTCACATTGCTGGGGAGTGAAGTCAGCGCGGCCAGAGGGGTGACCAGCCGCAAATCGTGGCACCTGCCTTGTTCCCCAAAGCTGCTGGGCCGATTCCTCCCCCCACACTGTCCCGAAGAGGGAGGGTTGTTCCTCAGGCTGTGCTCTGTCCCTCCCCCCAGAGCATGCTAGGGGTCTCTTTGGGGAAAAGCAAGTAGTCCCTGCACCTCTCGCTTGCAGGAGAAAGAGGAGGGCGGTGCCACTTAAATGCTGGTAGGCAGAGGTAAAATACTTTTTTCCTTGTTTTCCTCCCCAAAAATTAAGGTGCGTCTTATACTCCGGTACGTCTTATACACCGAAAAATATGGTAAATTTTATATACTTGTTGTTTGATCATATAGTTGATCTGAAGTTGAGGCATTTATCTGATAAGAGATGATTGATTTCTAAAATACTTTGGAAAAGATATTGAAGACTATTGTATTTTATTTCCATATTGTTTTTGCATTGATATAGAATGTAAGGCTTGGAAAATATTGAAATATGAATTTCAGATAAGAAATGTAATGATTTATCTTTCTCAGCACCCAGTCATCAAAACGTTCCTGAGAGGAGCCAGGCTTTTACGGCCCTCCTCAGTTCATAGATACCCCATTTGGGATTTGCCTAAGGTCCTTAAAGCATTAACCAAGACTCCCTTTGAGCCCCTCCGCACCATCCACCTTCGTTCCTCGCTCTTAAAGTAGCCTTCCTAGTGGCCATAACGTCAGCTTGCCGCATATCCGAGCTGGCAGCCCTTTCTGTTAGAGAAGATCTCTGTGTCTTCAGACCTGACACTTGAGTCTTGCGTTTGGACCCCTCCTTAATCCCTCTTTCACAGGGCTCAGGAGGTTATTCTCCCTAACTTTTGTCCATGGGCTTCTCATGACTTGGAACGGAGGTGGCACACCATAGATGTGCGGAGGGCTCTAAAGATTTACATCAAAAGAACTGCCCCTTTCAGAAAATCTGAGGCCTTATTTGTTTCCTTTTTGCCAAATTCCATAGGATATAAGGTCTCCTCCGCGACAATTGATCGCTGGATCAGAGCTTGCATTGCCTCGGCATATCAGGCACAGGCAATTCCTGTTCCCAGTCACATTACCGCTCACTCCACACGGAGTGCTGCTACCTACCTCGGCAGCATGGGCAACTCAGGCTTCCCTTGAGGAGGTCTGCAGGGCGGCCACCTGGTCCACTCCCTCACCATTTATTCGCCATTATAAGTTATATGTTTTGCTTCCCCTGAAGCGTCATTTGGCAGGAGGATGTTGCAGCAGGTGCACCAAGCAGGAGTCTCTTCAGGCCCTTCGGCATCCCGCCCTTAGGACTGCCAAAACTTTGGTATGTCTGCCTGGGTGGAAAGTGGGCAGTCTTTCTCCAGATGAGCAATGTTGTTTATATTCTCTCAATGGAAAGGTATTCACCAACCTACCAAGAAAGTAAGTTCTATGTACTTGTTGTTTGATCATATAGTTGATCTGAAGTTGAGGCGTTTATCTGATAAGAGATGATTGATTTCTAAAATGATTTGGAAAAGATATTGAAGAAACTATTGTATTTTATTTCCATATTTTGTTTTTGCATTGATATAGAATGTAAGGCTTGGAAAATATTGAAATATGAATTTCAGTATTCATATGCAACTAGATAAGAAATGTAATGAATTACCTTTTCTTGCATTTTTTCCTTAAATTTTTGAAAGGAATTTTTAAATGATAGAACGATGCATGAGGCTTTAGATTTGAACTAATGCATATTGTTACGAACTTTGGACTGCCAAATAGGGAATTTGGTATTGCTAGTTGATCATCATTGTTATAAGGCAAGAGACATATTTTGAGATACAGATAAGGGCTCTATAAGAGCCAATTGTCTGCCAAGTTTACCACATTCAAAATGGTGTGGAATCTAAAATGGTGCGAACCGGTTCCATCCTAGTTGTATTTCATTTTTCTTTTGCAGTTAACTTCTGGTCAAGAAAGACAAAACTCATAAAAACATAAGAGCCATATTACATCAGAGAAAAGACCATCTCTTCCATGTCTTGTTTACCACAGTAGCTTGACCGAGCTGAGCTTTAACCTGCTTTACCTTTTGCTGCAGTGACCACCTTAGGATTTGTCTGAACTGTTTGTGATGGATTTCCACAGAAAGGAGAACAGTTGGTGCAGCCAGCAACCCATGTTATATTGATTCTTTTGTCCTCAAATAGATCAGACATCCAAATTCCACTTTTAGTGGACAGTGAATGGACTTAACACGAAATGGATTTCAGGAACATCTGAAATTAATGGTGCAGGAGGAAGGGGGAATGCTAGCCCTGTTCTCACTTGGGTCCCCTCCCCCCATTATTTCTCCTTCTCCACATAGTGTTAGATTTAGAGATAAATAAATTTCCAACTGTCCACAGGGAAATACAAAAGGATTCTTATAGAGGAATCTAAAATGGTGAGAACCGGTTCCATCCTAGTTGTATTTCATTTTTCTTTTGCAGTTAACTTCTAGTCAAGAAAGACAAAACTCATAAAAACATAAGACCCATATTATATCAGAGCAAAGACCCATCTCTTCCATGTCTTGTTTCCCACAGTAGCTTGCCCCCAACCACATGCAGAACATGAGAATGTTGCCTTGAAATTCAAGCACCCCAAATTTGGGTTGGAGCTGATAAGAACGTAATCCAAGAATTTGAAAGAAATGTTTTTACCTTCTTTGCCCATCCAAGAATACAAGTCACCAAGTATACAGATAAAGCAAAAAATAAAAAAATAAAAATCATTTATTAATTGGGACTCAAGTGTTTTTATACGGTACAGAAACAAGTGATACAATGAAATATTCCAAAATGTCCAGACAATTTCTAATATTATCTCTTAACTGTCCTCTTTTTTATTTCAGTTAGCTAGAATCATCATAAATACCTTGTAGTCATTGTTCAGTTGATAATCTTTTGATAAAGTCAAGTATTGATCTTTAAGAATTAATGCTCTATTTGCATCTATATAGCCATCTAGTATCTTTTGATTGCCTAAAATAGAATTCCCGCTTTTTGCAAAGGTTGTAATAATTCATCATCAAAATATTTATAATAAGATCATGGCAAACTGAAAGAGAAATCAAGAGAACAATTGCAGAAGGATTTAGTTTTCAATGGTTCTCATATATACAATTAAATTTAATCTACGTAAGATAAACAATTACACAAAATGATTTATGACTTAATTACAAATAATGAATGTGTTATTGTTAAAATGTTTAAGCTTTTATTGAAATTTGAAACAGAAAAAGAACAAGTTAAAGAGTACATGATCAAATGGGCCAAGAATTGTGGTTATAATATACAGATGGACCAACGGGAGAAGATGTGACTAAAAGGACTGAAATTCACGCTTTGTTTTAATTTAAGCGAACATTTTACAAAAGGATGTACAAGGTTACTTCCATATTATGTTGCAAATGCATATACCGTATTTTCCGGTGTATAAGACGACTGGGCGTATAAGAAGACCCCCAAATTTTCCTGTTAAAATATAGGGTTTGGGCTATACTCACCGTATAAGACTACCCCTCTTCCAACGCACATCAAATAAAAATTAAAAAAACATCAACTGGCTCACCCACAACGTAAAAGCAGCTGTGCTAGACCCAAAATGGCCCCTGCAACAAGCAGGAACCTCACACAGCCACAAAAAGCCCAAAAAAACAACTTTCACACTTTACACATATGCAACACAACACAACACAACTGGCTCACCCACAATGTAAAAGCAGCTGTGCTAGACCCAAAATGGCCCCTGAAACAAGCAGGGGATGCCTGGGGGAAGCTCCGCGTAGCAACCAGCTGGTTCCAGCATTGAGTGGCATGCAGGCTTGACGAGATCCGCACAGCTTCCCGAATCTGAGTTGCTGGCGCCAACAACATTGAGGGGAAGCTGTGCCGATCTCGTGAAGCCTGCATGCCACTCAATGCTGGAACCAGCTGGTTGCTGAGCGGAGCTTCCCCCAGGCATCCAGGGGGATATTACTGACGCTCTGACTTCCCCAGCTGACCCCCAGTGATGGCGAGCCCCACCTGTCTGGGGAAGTCGGAGCATCGGTAATATCCCCCTGGATGCCTGGGGGAAACTCCGCTCAGCAACCAGCTGGTTCCAGCATTGAGTGGCATGCAGCCTTGACGAGATCGGCACAGCTTCCTAAATCTGAGTTGCTGGCGCTGACTGATGATGCTACGGAGCGCCGACAACATTGAGGGGAAGCTGTGCCGATCTCGTCAAAGCTGCATGCCACTCAATGTTGGAACCAGCTGGTTGCTGAGCGGAGCTTCCCCCAGGCATCCAGCGGGATATTACCGACGCTCCGACTTCCCCAGACAGGTGGGGCTCGCCATCACTGGGGGTCAGCTGGGGAAGTTGGAGCGTCAGTAATATCCCCCTGGATGCCTGGGACGGGGGGGGAAGCTCTGCGTAGCAATCAGCTGGGTCCAGCATTCAGCGACATGCAGCCTTGACGAGATCGGCACAGCTTCCCCTCAATGTTGTCGGCGCTCCCATAGCGTCATCGGTCAGCGCCAGCAACTCCGATTCGGGTACCCGGCGTATAAGACGACCCCCGACTTTTGAGGTGATTTTCCTGTGTTAAAAAGTCATCTTATATGCCGGAAAATACGGTAACTATACCAAGAGTTTTGTAGACTAATATTAAGTTGAAACTAGATTGTTGTTGATGTTGGAAATAATGGATAGTCAATTAAAAAGACTTACAGAAGGTTGTTTTTTATATGCACATAGATAGAAAGTTTCCAAAATACTCACATTAGAGGAATGGTTGGTTGGTAGAATTTGCAGAATTGACAAATTTAATTTGCTTTCCAGGAAGAAAGCAACTTATTAATGACTGGAAGCCAAAGAGAAAGGAAGAGAGAGAGAGAAAGAATGGATTGGTGATTTATGTTGATTATTAGAATTATCTTTTCTATTCTTAAAAGCCATATGTTTTTTATTAGTTTATAAAATCTTTTAATAAAAAATATTTAAAAAAAGAAGAATCAAAGACTATTTAATGCAATCTCCATTTTAGTAAAACCAACAAAATAATTCCTAATAGATTATTTTAATTAATAATCATACTTTTTGTGAGAAAAATCAAAATATAGATTTTTAAAATTTATTTTTTCTTAAAATGGTCCCAGACTTCAAAATGTGTGGATTTCTAAGATGTTCTTGCTTCTGTTTTTTTTATATTCAGGTTTTGTTATTTTGTTTTATTCTTTATGGTAAAAAATTGAAACAAAACATTATTCCTCTAACTGGCTAAACTTAGTCTCATGATAAAGGAAGAAGCTCTCTGAAAAGTAAAAATTACCAATCAGGATCTATTTACATCTGTTTAAATTGATTCTTATAAGAACATAAGCAGTGCCTTGCTGGATTGGTTCCCTGGCTATCTATAATCTAGCAATCTGCTTTTACAGTGGCTGACAGCTGCAACTATGGAAGCATACCAGTTTCCCTACAGATGGGTTTTAGTGGCAGTTAAACTGCCATCAAGGCTAATAGTAATTGATCCCCATCACTTCCATCAATTGGCCCTATACTTTTTTGTAGCCAGCTAAGCTGGTAACCAGCACCACATCTGGTAGAAAATTTCAAAATTTGATTCCATGTTGTGTGAAAACCAGGGTGGATTTGATTTAAATCGAGTTGATTTAAATCATGATTTAAATCACTAGTAAAAAGACTTGATTTAAATCAACTCGATTTAAATCATAATTTTTAAAGAGCAACTGTCATCTCTGCTACTCCTTTGACCCGCCGTTGACTCACCGATAGTCCCAGTGTTGCAGAATATACAGCCATAACTAAGCTCCATTTCATGCTGAATAAACTAAATTATTTATGTATCTTAAATAGAAAACTATCTTACGATAGATTTTTACCCCCAAAGTTTTTTTATTAAAATAAATTCAATAAAAATAAAAAAAATCTGATTTAAATAAAAAAATCCAATTTTTTTGATTTTTTTAAAAAAAATCATTGATTTTTATCCACCCTGGTGAAAACAGAATTCCTTTTGTTTGTCCTGATTTTTCCAAGGTTGGTTGGTTATTTATTTATTTCCTGCCTTTATTATTTTTACAAATAATTCAAGGTGATGAACGTATCCAATACACCTTCCTCCTCTTATTTTCCCCACAACAACCCTGTGAGGGGGGATTGGGCTGAGAGAGAGAGTGACTGGTCCAAAATCACCCAGCTGGCTTTTAAGGCTAAGATAGGACATAGACAAGCTGGTAAGATCCTTGGGCAGGCCCAGCAAAGAATGGGGACAGGTGCTAGGAGGTAGGGGTAGCCCAGCACAGACAGATGGGGGGGGGGGGGGGGGGGACGATGCAGATCAGCAAGGGGACATGGGCAGGCACTGGAGAGGGTGAACTGGCAGGAAATGTGAGCAAGCAGGTGCTGTGAATGAGTATGCTACAGAAGATAGGTGGGTAGGTGGTGCAGTGGATTATAGATTTTATATTCTGCAGTGGCCTCTTTGGGAGAAAAAGCAGCACAAGAGAGACTAACTAAGTGACTTGTGACCTTCCCTCCCAGATTCTCCATTGTCTTTGCTTGTGGGAAAGCAGCAGGGAAGTTCACAAATGGCAATCATGCAGCATGCTGCAGCAATGTAATTGAAAGCCGAACACACAGGTCACAACCACATGAATGTGGGGATGCTGTCAGTTAGAACTTCAAGAACTGGTATATGTCACTGGTTCAGTGCCATTGTAAGTTTGAAAGTTCTCTGAAAGAATGGTAACAGCTTGAGGGCTACTTGTACATCTTTCTAATATTGTTGATTCTCAGATGTACACATATTTCTATTAACTGTATTCAAAATCTAATCAAAAGTTTAAAATTCTTTACAGAAAATGGTGATGTTACAGAAGCCTCTTGATGATACAGTATTTATGTGATGCTGGATAACAATGAAATTGACACCGGTGGAATATGGGCAATTTGGCAGCATCTTATGTGGGTGAGAAAGAGATGAGGGGATCATGTGGTCTCATTGCTCCAAAACCCATATTTTGTGCTTCTTTCTGGCACTGTTGGCTATTTTGGCATTAGTCCACAACTTTTATCAACTAGAGGTAAGTTATTTACCTCCCAAGAACTAGCCAAATAATTTGAAAGTTCTTCCTTATCATCCAGGTCTTCCCATGATAAGTAACATAGTTTTCAGTGACTTTGAATGTTTTGCTCTGGAGTACTTCTTGGTAAAATGCCATGTCTTAATACATAAATTAAAAATATTTAACTGTAATCTATTTTTTCTCTCTTTTGATGAATAGAATAGAATAGAATAGAATTCTTTATTGGCCAAATGTGATTGGACACACAAGGAATTTGTCTTGGTGCATATGCTCCAAGTGCATTACAAAATCTTGAATGTTATGATTGGTTTGTCAATACTTTATAATGCTATGCTGTTTGCATACTAAATACCCACCTCTAAGCCCAGGCCACTTACAAAGGAAAAAAAAAGGCAAAGGTATGAAATTGATTAAAATCTTATCAATTACAAGTAGCAGCTGCCAGCTGGCTAATTATATTCACATAAATGAGTCTATTGGTATCCTAACGTGAGCAAATTGGACTTTTTTGGGGACCTGCACTGTATAGAAAAGCAGCTCAGGAATAAATAGCTTGTTTAGTCCATCTCTCCAGTTTGATGCTTCTATCTTTACTTCTTCTCTATTTCTCTCATCTGAAGATATGTCCCTTAGCAAGTCAACTATAATCAGTTTTGTTGACTGTATTTTCTATTTAATTTAGACTAATAACTTAATTTATTTTATGGAAGATATCAGCAGCTTGCTCCATTATATTTTCACTGCAACTCTTAATAACATTACATTCAAGAAGAGCCATCAGAATCTCCTTTATATGTGCCCCTTGCATGAAATTCTTCCAACTAATGTGCAATTCGGCATGCATTCTCTCTACTATAAAAATCAGTTAACACTTTATTAAGACCCTAAAACAGAGGAGTGGGTGGGTGGCTGGCTGGGCATTCAGAATATAAAGAAACATTACATAAAAAACCTACCATGCACACATTTTTGTCAAATCACCAAGCACCATTTGCTGCTAAAATATTGCTTTATGTCATCTAACTTTGGTGAAGAACAAAACCAAAAGTTATGTGATGTTTGTAATGGAATCCATGAAGAGTTGGCTAAGATTGGTGAGTAAGGCCCTGCAGGATCCTAAGCCCTTCCCCTCCCCAACAAATTATATTGCATTCTTTCACAGTTCTAGGGACAGCTTATTCAGTAAACTTCATCATCAACTACTCATGTCTGTGCTAAATTACTAGGAAATAAACTGATGATTTCCTTCATTGCTTTTCTTCCTTTAGGTAGAGTAAGTAAACAGGAAATCTTGTACTAAGCCTAAACACTTTTCAGAATAAAAGTGTGAGTTCAGCAAGAACTCAAGTCTTTTATAGACAATAAGGTTAAGGAATTAAAGAAAAGCTGAAAGAAGAATAGGCAGTGGCAGGGATAGAAGAAAATAACAATTCTGAGATTGTTTCAGTGGCTCTTTCCTAATCAGATATACAAACATAACAGATAAAGACAAAGAACAATAATAACTAAGCATTTCTGCTCTGAAAGTAGATGACGCTAATTCTCTCTTAATATAATAAGAGTATTAGAATTGAGTGGTGTAATGATATATTAAATACTATGGATAAAGTATTTACATAACTAATGGCAGCCTGTAATCCCACATACATATAACATTATTTTATAACTAATGGAATAGATTAAAACTATTTGGGTTGCATGGTATTACTTATATAGACCATTTGATTTGATGCTGCTGAAAAGTGCTAATAAAATAAATATAGTAGATATGATTCCCTTGCTACAAGTTTTGTTTGAAAGAGTTTCTTTCTTTTGTAGAATCTCAATACCGCAGGTTTTAAGTGGTTGGTAGAAGAGGATGAATCACAACCCTCATTGCATACAACTGGAACACACAGAAAGCTGTACTGTGGTTATGAGCATCAGGTTTTGTCCAAGATTGAACAAAAGGAAGAAGAATCTTTATTTGCTGCTGTACAGTGGCCCAAACCTCCTGAGAACAAAGTCCCCTTTGTAAGGAGTACTGACCCTTTCCATAGTAACTTTATGATACTAAATAGTAATGCAAATTACAGAGTTGGTGATCAGCTGGAAGTACTTGTCCATATGAAGGATTATGACGGAAATCCCAAGCAATATGGTGGCGATTATCTTCAGTCAAGAATTCATTCTGCCGATCTGAAAGCAGGAGCCATTGGAAGAACTGTAGATTATCAGAATGGCTCATACAGAATCTTTTTCAAATTACTTTGGCCAGGGGAGGTCACAGTATCTGTGTCCTTGGTTCATCCTAGTGAAGGAATCCAACTCCTTTACCGTTTACAAGAAGAAAGACCAGACAGGGCCTATTTTAAAAGCTTATTCAAATCAGGAAGGATTTCAGAAATTACTATATGCAATGTGTGTTTGCCTGGAGACATGCCAGTCTGTAACTTTACAGATAGGTATACTGGAGAACCATGGTTTTGTTACAAGCCAAGAAGACTCTCCTGTGATACTAGGATCAACCATTTTAAAGGGGGACTTAAAAAGGGCCTTTTAACTTCAGAAGAGAGTAACTTTTTCCAAAGGTACTTGTTTTCTTAGACTGGATGTGTAATGTTTGTTTTGTATAGATTAATGTTACTTTGGCTCTTTTCTTTTTAAAATGTGCGATGGTGAAAGACTGTTCTTGAATTCCTTTTACTACACCGAAATTGGCCTTTTAAATAAATGCCAAACAAGTAAAACATCAGTGTGGTTCTGCTACAATCTTTCTAATTTGCTGAATAGTATAAAAGAGGACATTTTAGAGCCAAATTTATGGCTCATAATTTTCATCAACTCTTATTATTTTAGGGCTTTATTGCTGTCACTATATATAAGGTAAAGGTAAAGGTTCCCCTCGCACATATGTGCTAGTCATTCCTGATTCTAGGGGGCAGTGCTCATCTCTGTTTCAAAGCCGAAGAGCCAGCACTGTCCGAAGATGTTTCCGTGGTCATGTGGCTGGCATGACTAAATGCCAAAGGCGCACGGAACGCTGTTACCTTCTCACCAAAGTTGGTCCCTATTTTTCTACTTGCATATTTTACATGATTTTGAACTGCTAGGTTGGCAGAAGCTGGGACAAGTAACAGGAGCTCACCCCATGATGCGGCATTAGGGATTCGAATCGCTGAACTGCTGACCTTTTGATCGACAAGCTCAGCGTCTTAGCCACTGAGCCACCGCATCCCTACATCACTATATATACTCTACCATTAGTTTTAATAATGGCAGCAATAAAACTTGGCTCTTCAGATAACAGCCCTATATTCAGGAACTTCTTTATAGTAGGAACTTCACAGACACGGCGCAGCTAAATAAATTGTTTCAGTGTAAATAATAAATTAGATATGCTCAGACGACCATATGCTTATGACGACCATACTGCAAAACACAAGAGATTGTGCCACATAATCCCTAGGGGGAAAGATTTAAATTTTAAACCTTTTCCTTTCATGTTTTGATTCAGAAGTCTTTGGGCCATTCTTTTCTTATCCCTGACAGTCAGAAAAATCTGCTTAGTATTTCACTAATAGTACTGTTGGGCCTAAGCACCTCTGGTTTCATTTTGCATGTTCGGTCTTTTTACTTTGTATTACTAGGAAATTATTGGCTTTTCTCCCCAAATAGATAAAAATAATCAATTTCTAAAAATCCAAATATTTTTGTATTTGAAACTTTTCCTAAACACTATCACTAATTTTAAACAAATTTGCCCAAGATGCACATATTTTTCTGCAGACATTTCTTTATAATATAAATTTCGCTAGTGTACGTGCTTTAGAAAAACAGCAAACATTTTTTGTTCCTTTGAGGAACATGTATTTTAAAATATATTTCATGACTTTTTTTGCATTTTTAATGCAAAGCAATTAATGAAAAGCAATTATTAGCTGATGATGTTGATAAGTCTCACAGTAATACGAGCAATACATCATATTGTTAATAAATGCATTTAGCAATGAAAAATACAATGGAATGTTATTGAGATAGATAAGTCCTCTTTTAACTCAGTTTGCTTTGATATAATTTGTTCAACGTGAATCTTGAATATGGAGTTTTCCAATTATGATTAGTGACGGCATTTCATATAACTATTAGCATCAGAGGGAAATATCCATGGCTGGGAAGGAATCTCTGTAGTCCTATTCATATTCATGAATATATTAGAAGAAGACTTAACTGTGTCAGTGACACAATAATTCAAGTTAAAATGCCATCTGTTTCTAAACATTTAGCAGTAAACATTTGTGACTTCGTATTTAGATTTTTTAAATATATATACATACATATATATATATATTTCCCTTCCTTTAGTGGTGTGAATATAAAAATGCCAATACCTTCCATTGGGCCTGATACTGTGATTGTAAGACCTTTGGGGCATGGAGGTAAAGTAACTATTCAAAAGTTTTGCTTTATACTATTTAAACTTGTTCTTACGAACTGCAACCATCAACAGTGTTTCAGTATTGTATGAGAAACTGTTGAAGAGCTATGGTTAAGAGTTCAATTATTGTATTTAATGTCAGGCTTCCAAGTAACAGATCCAAAGCAGACATTTAAATTATTTAAAAATATTACTTAACCATTATGTATTTAAGGATGAAAAATTCTTCATGTTGTCTATCTTGCTTATTCTGTTGAAGCAACAATCCTTTTGAAAAGGACTTGGCATTTGCTGGCATGCATGTGGAATCGCTCAGAGACAATTTAAACAAAACATTTATTTTCATTCACAGCAGCCATGTAGCAGCTGTGTGAATCCAGAAGATTCCAACAGTGCCAACTATGCAGCCTTGTGTTGGATAATATATCTGAATCATATTTATCCCTTTGAATTCAGATCTCCGGACCTTCCCATTAATGTAATATTGCAGGATGCTATTATAATACTTTTACTACAAATGATTGAGAATGTAGTATATTTATGGATAAAATTGTTAGAATGTTAGAAGCAGCCCAGAGTCATTTTGTTATGAGATGGGCAGCAAATAAAATAAATAAATAAATAAATATGGATAGATGGATGGATAGATAGATAGATAGATAGATAGATAGATAGATAGATAGATAGATAGATATGGATAAGATTTTCATAAGTGCATTCTTAAAAATTCTATTATATCATCTTTAAACATATCAAAGATGGCCAACTTAAAGTAATATAATTGTAAATAGCAATTAGATTAAATGTAAATAGTGTTACATTTATCATCTTTCTTTCTTTCTTTCTTTCTTTCTTTCTTTCTTTCTTTCTTTCTTTCTTTCTTTCTTTCTTTCTTTGCTAAAGGCAAAAAAAGGAAAACGGTTGTCAGCCCTGGAGGCCATCTTTGTTTTTGGTTCTTCAGGGCTGCCACATTTAGTGTATAGGCCTGCTGTGGGAAACTGGGAGTGGGGTTGCATGGAGTGGGTAGAGATGTATAGCCACAACAACATTCTTTTCTCTGGGAGTCAAGGATGGTCAGCCTGCACCTGGAGAGGCATGACTGGGGAACATCTCCAGTTGGGACAGTGGATTGATTAGACCATGTGATGGACATGTGGATGCAGGGGAAGGGACTTTGACTTTCCTTTGGGTGGGGAAAACCCGGGGTCTTTCAGATTCGGGTTTTCCCAGATGTGCCAATATGACATCTCTAATAAAATTGAACTTTGAGGAATTGCCTGCCTTGTAGTCTTACTTAGTTGGGAGTGTTACTTGGAATCCTGACAACAATTGCATCTGGCATGTTGCTTTGAAAATGTATATTTATAATATGTGTCTGTCAACTTGCTCTCTGTCTTGCTTATTTGTTTGTTTCTTTGTTTATGCTGCAATAATAAGATCCAGTTGAGTTTTCCATACAGATGAATATGTATACAATGACTCAAAATTTTCCATGCTTGTCCAAAAATTCACCTGCCAGTGCAGTTTTCCAATATATTAAAGGTAAAATTTGTTAATAGCTTTTTGGAACATGGATGTTGTAGTATTTTTGTTACAATGGAGTTAGTAAATTTTGCAGACATGATACTTAAAATTATAAAACTGCTTTTGCAAGACTCGTATGTGATCTCTTATTTTGTTTCAAGCTACAATTTTAATGCACGCCTCCCCATTTCTATTCATTAATTCAAAATGTTCTCTTTCAGAACTGAACAGTCTAGAAAGTTCTCACAACTCTGATGTATTTCCTTCTGGTTATTATTATCAAGATGAATGGCAACCAAGGACACGGTTGATTCGGCATTTTAATAAGTCATCAGATATTACTGAATGTTTACAGGGAAAACTTATTTACTTGTTTGGAGACTCTACAATCAGACAGTGGTTTGAATACCTGACAAAATTTGTTCCAGGTATGTTCAAATTGATTCCTTCTATAAGAAATTCTGCCATAAATAATTGATAAGCATGTTATTTTTTAAAATTTTGAGAGAAAAATTGAAAAGAAATCCTAAACTTGATTCCCCCCCCCCCCCCCCCCCAACCCCCCATCTTTATTTTTTTGTTCTTTTTCACTTTTTTGAGAAAAAAAAAAAAAAAAAAACAAAATTTTGGTCCCCCCCCCCCCCCCAAGAATATCCCATTATTAGGCTATCTGGCACTATCTGGAAGTTAGTGATAACAGGAAACCTAAGTCAAAAGCTTTTGTGGTTAATTTTTTGCTTAATTTCAGACGCCCTTGACAAGAAAGTAGACGTGTATCAAGCGTGCCCTGCAGTTTGTTACTGTATGTGTGTGGAGCTGGGTGGGAAGGAAACATAATTAAAACCAGATTAAATAATTTAGCCCGAGACAATTAAAAATCCCAATAATTTAAAACAGATTAAAATTTCGATTTAAAAGAATTTTAAAACAGGGGACAAAATTAGGCCAGGCCGGCTTGCTGGAATAGGAGGGTCTTAAGAGCACGGCGGAAAGTGCGCAGATCCGGGATCCTCCGTATCTCTGGGGGGAGCTCGTTCCAGATAGTGGGTGCCCCCACAGAGAAGGCCTTCCCTCTGGGGGCCGCCAGTCGACATTGTTTGGCTGACAGCACCCGGAGGAGCCCCTCTCTATGAGAGCGTACCGGCCGGTGGGAGGCTGTTTGTGGTAGTAGGCGGTCCCGTAAATAACCAGGTCCTAAGCCATGGAGTGCTCTAAAGGTGGTGACCAAAACCTTGAAGTGCACCCGGAAGCCCACCGGGAGCCAGTGCAGCTCGTGCAGGAGAGGTGTCACATGGGAGCGCCATGTTGCTCCCATAACCACCCGCGCGGCCGCACTCTGCGCCAGTTGGAGACTCCAGGTGCTCCTCAAGGGGAGCCCCATGTAGAGAGCTGCCATTTAGCATGCAATCCCAAGTCTCACCCATGAGATGAAAAACTATCCCATTTGTGGGCTCCAATGAAGAGAGCAGCTGTCCTACTGAACAAAAATGAAGGAGTCTCCACTGAATTATATCTGAATTATATCTGACAGCAGATATAATAGGCACATTTACAGTTCTTTGTAAAGAATCTATTAGATCCCAGCTGCAAAACTCTAGATGCCTATTAAATGGTTGCAGGAAACAAGTCTGTAGACCTGAGGTCGGTAACCTCAAACCTTCAGAGCCACAAAGGTCCTAACCGGAAGGCCCCTCCCTTCAATTCTGGAACCGACCGGAAGTCCGGTTCCCCCACCATAGTCTCCTAGTGCGGTGTCCTTTTTCCTCTACTTATCCTAACCAAAATCCCTATCAATTGTGGAGCCGACTGGAAAACCTGCCCCTTGCCATAGAGTCTCTTCCTGGCACGCCATGCTTTTCCCTCCCTGACCGAAAGCTCCTCTCAAAATTGTGGTGCTGACCAGTGACAGGGAGCCACAGCAGAGGGATGAAAGAGATGTGGCTCCAGAGCCGCAGGTTGCTAACCCTTGCTGTAGACCTTAGAAGGAAATTCTGCTGGCTGACTTCTCTATACTAGAACAGAACAGACAGCGAAGGGGTAGACTGCAGCAAGTGTGTTCAGCAAAAGTGCAGTGCATTTGAAGCAAAGAGGAGCTGAAGGGGAACGGCTTGAAATTGAGAAGGAAATAGATAGAGGGCCTATTCAGGTGATTAAAACATTGACATTTTTTCTCCCAAAGAAATGTAGTCATGTTTGAGGTTATATATTATTATTTTTCATTCCTTTAAAATGGTTAGTTGAATAGGCATTTGGATGATTTTTCAGAAGGCATAATGCTAAGCTTAAATTAGTTTTATCTTACTAACACTTCTAGGTAGTGATAGAGTTATGGCATACAATGATATACTAATTTTCTTTTTTTAAACAGATCTTGTGGAATTAAACCTTGGAAGTTCTAAGAAAGTTGGTCCTCTCATGGCTGTGGATCCAAAGCACAACATCTTACTAAATTTTCATTGCCATGGCCCTCCCCTTCGTTTTTTCACAGTTTTTACCAGTCAACTGCATTATATTGCCAATGAACTGAATCGTATTGTTGGTGGGAAGAACACTGTGATAGCCATAACTATTTGGTCTCACCTTAGCACTTTTCCTATAGAAGTGTACATCAGGAGATTGAGAAATATTCGCAGGGCAGTTGTTCGGCTATTGGAACGGAGCCCAAAAACTTATATAGTCATCAAAACTGCCAATGTTCAAGAACATGGCCCAGAAGTTAGCCTTTTCAACAGTGACTGGTATGCCTATCAGCGTGACACAATAATGAGGAAGATGTTCTCAAAAATTGGGGTGTACTTTGTGGATGCTTGGGAGATGACACTGGCTCACCGTTTGCCACATAAATTACATCCAGAAAATATTATTCTCAAAAATCAGTTAGATGTTTTGTTGTCTTTTATATGCCCACTGGAAACACACTACAGGTTCTTAACTGGTATACATAATCAAATGTGGTCTATATTTGTATAATTCAGCATTCTGCACTATTAAATGAAGCATTGCTGATTTGTTGTGGTCAGAATTTGCATCACATCTAGCACAACTTGCACAAAAGCAAGCACATTTATATTTACTGGGGGCAGGGAGAATTCTGTATGTGCATTACGTTTTTACACTGGCCCATGTTCCTCCCCAACCTCCTCACTGTCCGACTCCGCTGACAGCTTTGCAGGCTGCTGGCAGACCACAACATCCAACCTTCCCCTTTTATGATGCATGTATTGGTGTATTCAGGTTCTACACCTCACTTGTATAAAATATTTTTTTTAACTAGGGCTAAGCACACTTCAGACATTATCAAGAAAAAGTGATTTGGAACTTAGGTAAACACTAAGCCTTTTTTGTGTTCATTAAAACAGCCATGCCTGAAAAAAATACAGCAGTGATAATCACCTCCAAAATAAAAGGGAATATTCTTCTGTTTTTCCTATTGGCCTCAGCTTCTTGTCTGATTACTAAAGAGTTAGAGCTAGAACAAGAACAAAAAAATAATAGGCAAGTTTTTGGAAGAATTTTGGTAAGGATAGATGCAATTAAGGCAGACATTACAGTTATTTTTCATCACTGTTTTAACTGTGAATAATCTTTATGCAAAACAATCGTTAAAGGAGGATTACCTGTATTAAAATCACAATAAATAATTATGAGAAGTGATAATGATATCAAAAGATTAATAAACACTGCATTCTTTTGTCCAATACTTTTGCCTTTAAAGGTACCTTTAATTCTTGACATAAGCTATTACATGCTTCTTTCCTGGAGGGCGAGAATGATTGACCATTGTTTTTGTGTAAATTTTCATAAGTAGGAACCTTAGCAGCCAAAAAGGAACAATCATATTTGACCCATGCTATGTGACCTTGATCCTATTTTCATGCCAAAAAGTAAGTAAGCCTAGAAATTAATTTCTGTTCTGTCCACAAAAGTATCTAAATCTAAAAGAAATGGCACAGAATTAAATATTCCTTATCTTAAATGTTCTAAAAATTCCATATAGCCAATTCATAATTGTTTATTTTCAAGTCAGAGAAGTACTAAAAAGATCTTCATGAATCAGACTAAAGCTTGCATATTGCAATGTTATAGGTAGTCGTCCTCTTACAACCATTCATATAAATCGAACCAATAAATAAATAAATTGTGGTTGTAAATTGAGGACTACCTGTACAAGATCTTAACTTCCATGTCTGAATCTGTCACATCCCATGCAATGGCCTCTTGATTTCCTGCCTTAGTTTCACCATCTACAAGTTCATTTCTCTTGAATTGTTAAATGGGAATAAATTTTAATTCTAGTATGACATTCAAACTGAAACGTTTCCTCAGTTTCTTCAAAAGACAGATATTCCGGGGCATAATATCTTTATAAGGAGTTCACCTGACATGGGATTATTTTTCAGTTTTCAATACAAGATATATTTCATCATTTTTAATCACTGTACTTTTAATCACTCAGATAAATTACGTTTACTGGTATATTTTCTCATGTATATTTTCTCTTGTTGCTTGCCCTTCATCCTCTTTGTAAAAGGCATTTTTTCATGGTAATTCTTGAAATTCTGCTTTATCCGCAGTGTTGGCAGATTATAGTAATGCAAGGGCATTTCTGCTACATCAGGTAAGAAGCAGACTCTTCCCCAGGTAATGACCAGGTTTGAAGGTCATGTTCCTTCCTGTTTGCTGGCCATGTATGTCTGCATGAAGAATACCAATGTTAAAAATAATGGAAGTGATTTTGAAGTGAGATTTTAGGCTTCCTCATCTACTGCTACTTTGCAAAATGGAGATCTACATGTCAAACTTGAGAATTGAAAGTTTCTATGATTCATTGTTGCATGATAACAGTTTTAAAAATACACTTCTCAGTGGTGAATGTCTGCAATGTTTGATAGATATATGGAAACATTTAATATTTTACCAGTAATAATACAAAAAAATCTGAGTTTATAACCATTGTGATTATTACTATTAACATGCAGAAAATACTTAATTTTCCTGTAAACAATGGATTTTATGAGCTAACAGTTGGCTGTCTGATGACTTTACAGCAATCATTAATCGCACATTTGTGTAAAAATTTTATCAATCAAAATGTGTATTATTTTTAATTTATTAAATAAATATTAAATTTGTACTTTACCCTGCCCCATGCTTTCTTCTCTTATTGCCACACACAGCACTGAGATACAATAGGACACAAATGACAATTGGCCAATGATCACTTTGTCATTACAGAAGTGAGCAGGCCAATGAAATGGCATATTCTGCACTATCTGACATTGGAGCCATGAAATTATATTACTTTTAATAGTGAATATTTCCACTAATTGTCTCTTCAAAGCCACACAAATACACACAAATTGGTGTTTTCTCATCAAAACCAATATATTTCAACATGCATTTTAGATTTTTGCATGAATGCCATTTCGCATGGCTGCTTCTGAATTCATCTGATGGACAGTGGTGGCCTCCAAATCTTTTAACATAACAACCAATTCTCTGTCCTAATGACTGGCTGGGTGAGCATGGCTGGGTGAGTGGGGGGTGTCGTGACTGAGTGGGCATGGCCAACTCTACGTCACTTGTGTGGGTGGTACCTGTGTGGCACAGGCAGGGTTGGGGAGGGAATCAAGGGGTCCCCGGTGGTGGGGGTGGGAGGAAAGAAAGATCCAACCTGTTTGTGTGTGTGAGTGTGTGTGTGTGTGTGTGTGTGAGAGAGAGAGAGTGCGTCAAGCTACTGGGAAAGCTGGCTGGGAGAGAAAGAGAAGCTGGATAAGCTGGACCCAGACGCTTCCCGGGTCCCCTCATCCAGACGTGGGCTGCTGCCAGTTTGGACTGGTTCGCCCAAAGCAGTTGTTCTGATTCTGCGCGGTTCAGAGAACTGGCAAATTGGACCATCAGCTGGCCCCACCCCGCCCATTTTTCAGGTCATTTTTCCAACCAAAATCGGAAGGGGGATGTGGAAAAACAGTCTGAAAACAGGCAGGGTCAGAGCCAGCCGGTGGTCTGATTTGCCGGTTCTCCGAACCACACAGGATCGGAACAACCAGTTTGGGTGAACCAGTCTGAAACAGCAGCAGCCCACCTCTGGTGATGAAATACAAGTAATACTATATTCAAATTAAAGTCTGATGTATCAAAATTTCATGATTCTTCACACATTATTTTACATATGACAAGTATAAAAAATGGCAACTCCAGGACTCTATAAATGGGAATGTAAACTGGAATCCTAGGGAACAGGACTGTCACAGATTACAAATCACGATAGTGAATTCTGGTATTTGGCATATGCTTTTAGTATGAGTGAATGAACATTCTTCTATTATTGATGGCTCTCTATAATCTAATACAGCTTGATTTTATGTATGTATACAAGTCTTAAAAAAAACGGGGTACTTGAGAAAACTAATTTTCTACAAAGTCAAAAAAAAAAAGTTGGGCTATGGTGGATGGCTAATCAGTGAGGTGCCATCAATGGAAAAGGAGCTCACCTGGCCATATCTTTTGACCCAGCTTTCCTCATGGACATGTGCATGGAACAGCATGTGGTTATGGGTTACATAATACTGTCCTGCTGCTATTGTCCCAAGAAAGAAAATATTTTGGCCAGTCTTCTCTTTAATAATTTGTGAGAAAGATGGGGATTCCAGAGGCTGAGCAGCTTCTCCATAAATTGGAAGACATCCTTTTCATCCTCAATCAGCATCAACATGAGGATGAGGGAAAGGTAACCTTAGGTTATAGTGTCAATTAGCCCCAGCTGCTTTGGGCTTGTCAGAGAACAGCAGTCCCAACTTCTTTTGCAGAGATGAAAATGAAAGTATCAATCTTACAATCTAAAACCCAATTTTATTAAAAATAAGGAAAAGGAAAATGTTGACTTTCCATGGACAAATGCCCAAACAATCACAATTCTATAGACTGATAAAAATACAGTGTCTAAAACAAGTTTCCCATAAAATAATGCGAGGAGACCAATTGGATGGAATCTGAGGTTCAAATAATTTACTGTAGATGCGATAAAACAAGAATTGAGTTTGTATGAAAGCAATAAAGCTCAAATACAAAGATCAGAGGCAAATTCATTGCACAATTAACAGATACTTTCCAAATATCAGAATCCAGTTGTTAGAGATGTTTTACAGTAAAAACACATTATAAGCCGAAGGGCAAGTTAAATAATTGCTTTCTCATTTTGTAATCAAGGGTTTGGCCCTGCAAATACTTGATCACTCCACTCTCATCCTGTGCAGTACACGAACATTTGAACAACCATAATTATTTTAAGTGGCATTTATCATATTTCATCATTCTTGTGCTCCATTTTGCTCATGCTTTACTTCCCAACAAAAAATATTATTATCATACTCCAATATGGGTATGTCAATTTTTTTCAATCAGGTAAAATCTTTATAGTCATACCATTGATTGAAGGTAGCAATAGCAATAGCAGACTTATATACTACTTCATAGTGCTTCACAGTCCTCTCTAAGCAGTTTACAGAGTCAGCACATTGCACCCAACAATCTGGGTCCTCATTTTATTGACCTTGGAAGGATTGAAGGCTGAGTCAACCTTGAGCCGGTCAGAACCGAACACCTGGCAGTGGGCAGAGTTAGTCTGCAATACTGCATTCTAACAACTGCACCACTATGACTCAGTGGTCAAATAACAACTAAAGATCAACTAAACTAAAGGTCAAATAAAAACTAAAATAAAATGCATTAAAAAAAATAAACCCCAACTAAGCAACGCATCACTTTGTATGGCAAACTGTCCTGAACAAAAAATTGTGGCGAAAGCATATGGAAGATAACTGTTGCATATCATCCAGAGCCTGTGAGCAGTAAGATTTCCTATGTTCCTATGAAATGTGGCTCCTACTGGAAAAAGGAAAAGATAACTCCTAGCACCCAGATTTAGGCAGATTTAGATGGGAGAACTGGATCTTTCAAATAGCTTTGTTACAAGTAGCTTTGTTACAAATCACATAGAACGTCTACAGAAAATATTTTAAATTATCAGAAAAACTGAGATAGCTGAGCCAATCAGTTATGAATTCCTTTTCAGATATGTGACCAATGAGAGTACAGAGTAGAAAGAAGTTGAGTCCCTTCATCAGTTAAGGATTCCCATAGCAATTCACTACCTTGTTGTGGAGAAGGGGCTTGCGCAGCGCAATGAAGCTATTAGCTATGCCATGCAGGGCCACCCACTCCAGTATCTTGCCATAAAACCCCCATGGACAGTACCAAAAGGCAAAAAGATATGATGCTGGAAGATGAGCCCCTCAGGTCGGAAGGTGTCCAATATGCTACTGGGGAAGAGCAGAGGGCTAGTACTAGTAGCACCAGAAAGAGTGAAGCGACTGGGCCAAAGCCGAAAGAATGCTCAGCTGTGGATGCATCTGGTGGTGAAAGGAAAGTCCGATGCTGTAAAGACCTACACTCCATAGGAACGTGGAATGTAAGATCCATGAATCAAGGCAAGCTGGACGTGGTCAAACAAGAGATGACAAGACTGAACATCGACATCTTAGGAATCGGTGAACTAAAATGGACAGGAATGGGTGAATTTAATTTAAATGAACATTAAATATACTACTGCAGGCAAGAATCCCTCAGAAGAAATGGAATAGCCATCATAGTCAATAAAAGAATAGGAAAAGTAGTACTGGGATACAATCCCCAAAATGACAGAATGATCTCAGTTTGAATCCAAAGCAAACCATTCAACATCACAGTAGTCCAAGTCTATGCTCCAACCACTGGTGCTGAAGAGGCTGAAGTTGGCCAGTTCTATGAAGACCTACAACACCTTCTAGAATTAACACCAAAAAACTATGTCCTTATCATCATGGGGAATTGTAGTGCTGAATTAGGAAGTCAAAAGATAACCGGAATAACAGGCAAGTTTGGTCTTGGGAGTACAAAATGAGGCAGGACATAGGCTGGTAGAATTTTATCAAGAGAATACGATGGTCATAGCAAACACTCTTTTCCAATAACCTAAGAGACATCTCTACACATGGACATCACCAGATGGTCAACACAGAAATCAGATTGACTATGTGCTCTGCAGCCAAAGATGGAGAAATTCTATCTAGTCAGTAAAAACAAGACCAGGAGCTGACGGTGGCTCAGATCATGAGCTTCTCGTTGCAAAATTTAGACTTAAATTGAAGAAAGTAGGGAAAAGCACTAGGCCATTCAGGTATGAACTAAATCATATCCCTGATGAATATACAGTAGAGGTGACAAATAGATTTAAGGAATTAGATCTGATAGACAGAGTGCCTGAAGAACTATGGACAGAGGTTCACAACATTGTACAAGAGGTAGCAACTAAAACCATCCCAAAGCTAAAGAAATGCAAGAAAGCAAAATGGCTATCTGAGGAAGCCTTACAAATAGCTGAGGAAAGAAGGGAAGTGAAAGGCAAGGGAGAAAGATACACCCAATTAAATGCAGAATTCCAGAGAATAGCTAGAAGAGATAAGAATGCCTTCTTAAATGAACAGTGCAAAGAAACAGAAGAAAACAGTAGAATAGGGAGAACCAGAGATCTCTTCAAGAAAATTGGAGATTTGAAGGGAATGTTTCATGCAAAGATGGGCATGATAAAGGACTAAAATGGCAGGGACCTAACAGAGGCAGAAGAGATTAAGAAGAGGTGGCAAAATTACACAGAATTATACAAGATGGAGCTTAAAGTCCCTGATAACTATGATAGGGTGGCCATTGACCTCAAGGGTGGCCACTGACTGGAATGCAAAGTCAAATGGGCCTTAGGAAGTCAGAACAACAACAAAGCTAGTGGAGGTGACAGTATTCCAGCTAAACTATTCAAAATCTTAAAAGATGATGCAATAAAAGTGCTTTTAATAGGCTGTACACCGCCCTGAGTCCTTCGGGAGAAGGGCGGTATAGAAATAAAATTATTCTTATTCTTATTCTTACACTGTATATGCCAGCAAATTTGGAAAACTCAAAAGTGGCCACAGGATTGCAAAAGGTCAGTTTACATTCCAATTCCAAAGAAGGGCAATGCCAAAGAATGCTCAAACTACCAAACCATTGCACTCATTTCACATGCTAGCAAAGTTATGCTCAAAATCCTACAAGCTAGGCTCCAG